TCCTCTAGCCCAAATTTCCCAACTTCAACACATGATCCAACTGAACTGTTTTGAACTTGAGGTGGTGGTGGTTGATGTGACTGCACATGCTTTCTCCTGGTTATACTCTTTAAGAGGTGTCTATGACCTCTAAGAAATCCCTCATTAGCAAACTCCCAGCGATCAGGGTCGACTTTCCTGAACCCCTGCTTGCCCAAAGAGAAAAGCAGACTATAAAAAAAATAAAGGTCGCTCGCCAGCAACATATACGGAAGTCCTGTGAACAGATTACACAAGACAAGACATAAAAGCTATAACAGAGTTCAGACCATCAGGAGAAACCAGTGATGTCTCAGCTAAGCTAATCTTGAAAGGCACCGAATAATGAAATTATGCAACATGCTTAACTTGATAATCCAATAATTGCTAACATTATTTCAAAGTTCAAGATAAAGTAACATGAAAATAAACCCCTATATCCGGAATTTCTCCGATTTGTATTTTTCCCAACCTGATAAATCACTGCTAAAGGTATCAAATGAAACTTCCTAGTGCTGATTTGTTTTAAATAAATTATATGACCGAGATGATATTACCAAAATCTACCAAAAAATAGATTAAATGAGTAATTTAGGGTTTAAATTAATTTATTTCCGCACAAAAGTTTTCAAAAAAAAATAATAATATGAAGAACATAAACAGAAGAACAAAATAAATGGAAGGCTTATAACTTATAAGAAGAAGAAGATACTCACGTAAGTGTTCAATTGTCTGACAAAACTGGAGAAATTGTTGTGCTTGAAGTACTTGGGCAAAATATCTTTAGCGAACTCGGGGACGTTCCACACGACGAAACTGTTATTGCTCTTGCTCCAGGACACCACGGCGTCCGTCGACGGATCCTCCACCATATCATACGTTTTGCTCAGAAAAGGCGGCGGCGAATTCCCGGCAGCCGCGGCGGCGCTTTCCTGACCACCGTCCATGTTTCCCGATGGTCCTCCACTTAGGTAGACTCGCCTGACGCTTCTGACGATCAACGAAATTGTAGATATTAGATCAGGATAGAGAGAGTGAGAGAGCGATGAAGATGAGAGAGAAAGAGGTATGGAGGAAGGGAAAGGAATGGAGCGACGAGTGACTGGCACCAAGCGGTGTTAAGTGAGCACGAGAAGGATCCTGAAGGACTAGAACTCTGCTTTACTCTTTGGGCCCTTTAATATTTCTAATTGCCAAACACACTTTTTTGTTGTTCTTATCTTTATTTTGCACCCTTAATTTTTGAAAATTGAAAATTTAACCATCAATGTCGGCTATTCAATTTGCTCATGTATTGGCTTTTCTGTATGTACATTTCATCGAAGATAACTATCAATCTCTTCTCATAAGGAATGTAACCATTTATGATACTTAAAGATGAGGTCCATATAATTTACATTATGTTTTAACATGTAATGGTAAGGGAATTCAATTTTTTGAAAATAAATATCTTAGCACAAATTCAAATAATACGGAATAATAGATAGTCCATATATTTGTAGTAAGGCTATTGAGAGAAAGAGGTATGGAGGACGCGAAAGGAATGAAGCAATGAGTGACTGGCACCAAGCGGTGTTAAGTGAGAACGATAAGGGTCCTGAAGGAGTCTGGAACTTTGCTTTACTCTTTGGGACCTTTAATATTCTAATTGCAAAACACACCCTTTTATTGTTCTTGTCTTTATTATGCACCCTTGATTTTTGAAAATTGAAAATTTAACCATCAATGTCGGCTATTCAATTTGTACATGTATTGGCTTTTTCGTATATACATTTCATCGAAGACAGCTATCAATATCTTCTCATAAGGAATGTAACCATCTATGATACTTAAAGATGAGGTTTGTATAATTTACCTTATGTTTGAACATGTAGTGATAAGAAAAGTTAATTTTTTAAAAATCAATATCTCAGCACAAGCTCAAATATTATAGAGTAATAGATAGTCCATATCTTTGCAGTAAGGCTATTGAGAGAAAGATGTATGGAGGAAGGGAAAGGAATGGAGTGATGAGTGACTAGCACCAAGCGGTGTTAAGTGAGGACGAAAAGGGTCCTAACGGTGTGTTTGGTTCATGGAATAGGTCGGGAATGGAATACCATTCCCGGGAATAGACCTATTGCATTGTTTAGTTTGTCTTTTCATGGCTGAGAATCGCATTCCCGAGAATGAGCTATTCCCTTTGCAAGAGGAATAACCATTCATAGGGGACCCTATGGTATTAGCTATTTCTATTTTGGAAATAGCTTTTGTACTCTAATACCGAAAATATCCTTTTTGTATTATATATATATATATATATATATATATATATATATATATATATATATATATATATATATATATATATCTCACCACCGCCACCGCTGCCATCGCTACCACCACCGCCGCCGCCATCGCCACCACCACCACCACCATCGCCGCCGCCACTGCCACCACCACCACCACATATTTTTATAAAGATATTTATGTCTTTTAAAACATATGTCATTTATATTCCTTAAACCAACCAAACATTGTAATATAATTCCTAAAGTTCATTCCTTCCGCGAACCAAACAATATAATACAATTCATATTCTATTCTTTGTCTATTCCATTCCTTATGGAATAGCATTCCTATTACCTCAAAATTCATTCCGTGAACCAAACGTGCGGTAAAGGATTAGAAGTCTGGAACTTTGTTTTACTCATTGGGACCTTTAATATTTCTAATTGCAAAACACACCCTTTTGTTGTTCTTATCTTTATTTTGCACCCTTGGTTTTTGAAAATTAAAAATTTAACCATCAATCTCGACTATTCAATTTGCACATGTATGGGCTTTTTCGTATATACATTTCATTGACGACAACTATCAATCTATTCTCATATGGAATGGAATCGTCTATGATACTTAAAGATGAGGTCCCTATAATTTATTTTATGTTTTAACTTTATATGTAGTGATTAGTTTTTCACACACATTGTGCGAATGAGATAATGTCCAATGATTATTTTTAAATAAATACTTCAAATTATATCAATGCAATATTATATAGAAGATACTCATGCATTCATAGTAAATATAAATAAGTTTTAACACCAACCTTAAATATGAATTATTTCATGGATTATGACTTATATTGCATTATAAATACATGCATATAAAAAATAATATTGTAAATGCATACAAAATCAGACACAAAAAGTATACTATACACACATATTTTGTGATGTACTACAACCTACAAAATTTGATATTGTGTAGTCCATAAATCATAAAAGAGATATAAATTAATCTTTTGGTACAAGAATCACATTGCACTCATTTTGAAATTGTAGACTACAAATTGTAGTAGTGATGTGAAGAATGTGTACTAGAGACTATGAACTTGTAATAGTTAATTAATAACCAGTAGTGACTTAATGAATATGAATATGCAATAGTAATTTTATGAATTTATAATAGTGAATTATATGTACACTCATGAGTGAATTTATGTAACTATATTTGTGACTTTATAAGCCAAAAGTAATGCAGTGGTTTATGTAGTCAAAATAATGTCTTTATGTATCTGTAGGTGATAGATAATATGATATTGTCGTATTAGTATTGCGCTTGAGAATCGTGCGGAGGATCCTCGCTGTCATTTTTCGATCTAGAGTAGTGGGAGTTGTGAGACTTCCCGATCATGATTGTGGTAAGGAGTGACCTTGTTTATTAAGTGAACATAATTTTCACTTTGGTAGATCGTTCACGACTAAAACTGATCGGAAAAATTATTCTTGAAATGAAGAACCCATAATGATTGCCCACTAATAATTCAAATAAAATACGGACCAAGCGTATAATGTTGTCATATCACGTGTGCGTGACTCGTCAACTTTAATAAGGTACGTGGAGGGAGCAGAATTGCCAGTGTTCCCTCAACACATGGCGAGCATGCTGAGTGTCCAAATTCCAAATTATGTCCCCATTCCCCCCCCCCCCTCCCCCCTACACCCACCCAATATCTATATGCCGCATTTAATGTACTAATGCGGGATTTGTTTGGTATCATTTTTCCTAACAGGTAACTAGATTGGAACTGTTCGATCACACTATCACAAATACAATACAATACACCCAAATACGTAGGTATGCACACATAAGTCTGATAAATAGGTTTATTAAAAAAAATTAATATTAGTGTTATTTAAAATATCTCAATTATAACTTTTTAATGATATATTTTTATAACATAATTTTATTTGTAAAAAGTTAAAAAATTAAATACAAGTAAGCAAAAAATGAATTAAAGAGAAACATAAGGATGCTTTGAATACATGTAGCAATATACACTTGGCCCTCCATGATATAACTACTGAAACACAAAAAAAAAATGGGTGACTAAGTAAATGTAACATAATCAAAAAATAAAAATAAAAAATAAGTGTAACATAATTATCGCATGAAAAAAATTACGTGTTCAACATTTGTCAGTGCATTTTTGACAAAACTTTTTACACAAAATTTTTATACAATTTATATTTTTTGTATGATATGTAAATTATTACATGGAAATAATGTTTACTTTAGTGTACACATTCTTGTAAAAAAACCTGTTGAAACTTAAATGTGATGTGACATGAGTGGAAAATGTGTACATAAATACATTTAATATTGTTTTGTCTTGTCTTGTGGGCACATATCGAAGATGACTTGGGGCATTGACGTATGAAGACTTGTGCATTTTTAAGTCAATAAGACACCACACTTTTTAAAGTTTAAAGATTGAAATGTAATTGTGTTATACTCTTAAGGGTCAAAGTTTCACTTTTTAAAACTGTAGGGACCTTAAACTCATTTATCAAATATCGGGGCCAAACTGAAAAACTAAGTCGGTACGTACTGCTGACATGGCAGTTCAAGTCGAAATTGTGCGAATCGAAACTGTATGCAAAAATAATTAATTGAAAATTTATCTTATTTTATATTTTTAATTTATATTTTAATATTCATTGGCGCTTATGAAATGGAGAGGTTCATTATCCTGTGGCGCCACCGCGTATCTTACCAGTAGAGGAAGAGCACACATCGCCGACGATGGTAGGCGGCGGCGGAGCTGATTGCATGCTTAGCTTGAGGGTTTCTTCTCTGTCTTCTCCGTTTTGTGGTACCGGTTTGAAGTGGAATCCGCCAAGGAGAGCGAAACCGGGTAGGGTCATTTCGCGCTGCAAAGCGAGTCTGATCATGGATCCTGATTCTTTCCAAGTAGGTAGGCTTATCGGTAGCTATGGATTCATGAATATCACCAGGTAAGTTAGTCTCCACTGCATGTAATTTCTGTGGATTTTCGTTTTTGTTTGACTTGATTAATAGTGGAGGCGTAATGCAACTCGCAGTTACTCGGGGCCGCAAGCTGGGATGGGGATGGAATATTGTTCATCATCTCCAGAAGATGTTGGGCGATTAAGAATCCAGGATGTTGGAGAAGGAAATGTCAAAATTAGGTGATAATTTATCATTCCATTGGACTAATTAGCATGTATACCATATCATATTTTTGTTCATAAAATTGATCAATATCATAAATGTCCTGTATGTATGAAAGAAGTTTAGTTAGAAATGAGCAGTTCAGGGATAATTTCTTAATCGGGCAGGTAAAGGAATGTTTCTGATTACTCCAATGTAGTTTATTCTTGCTGCTGATACTATCCCCTGCAGTGAATTTGCAGACTTTATGAAGGAAGAGTAGCTCAAGGTCCACTTAGAGGTACACCAGTTATTTTTAAGGTACTAATACTTGGCCATCCTCTACATGGGAAATTCTATTAGGAGTTATCCAGCATGCTATGTTTGGTAATCTATCAAAAATATTCTCATTCAGGTCTATCCAGGTAAACAAGTTGGCGGTACTGAAGCTGATTTGATGGCAGCAAATGAGCTGAATGCTCATGCTTCCCTTCAAGTAATTCGATAATTCTTTAGTTTCAGTTGCAAGCACTCAAGCAGGTTTAAATTTGAGTATGATTAAGTATCCTGCTGAGATATTTGAAATGCCACACTTTAACAGAGTAGTTATAGAGGCATCTGTGAGAATATTCAAATACTTATTGGAGGATTTGAGATGAAGACAGGAGAGCAGGTTTGTTGTCTTCTATTTTAGCTGTATGCACAATTTTTTTTTTTTTTTGGGGGGGGGGGGGGGGGGTAGGTCCAATGACAATAGTCACAAGTTTATATGCCTTCTGTTTCCTGCAGTGGCTTGCTTTTAGGAATGATGGGAAATATACTGCTGCTGATTATGCAAGAATTGCAAGTGAGAAAATGCCAAAAAGTGATGGTGTAGGAAAACAGAAATTTTGGAATCCTTTTGAAAATGATGAAACCATAAAGCGTAGAAGATATTTTGTTACAAAGTTGCTTCGAGGTGCTATGAAAGGCCTATCCTATATGCATGATAATGAGACATTGCACCAAAGTCTTGGCCCTGCCTCTGTTGTTCTCAAGTATTCTGTCCACCTGTTTTTATCTCTCTTCTTCATTTCCTTTTTGTTTTGGATTGTGAATGTTAATCATGCAACTCCTCAATTCATTTTAACGATATGGTCCAATCTCCTTGAATTGCAGCACACTGGTTGAGAAAGATGCTGCTTATCTAGTTCCACGTCTCCGTGATCTAGCCTTTTCAGTCGATATTAGGTATGAACTATGAACAAAGTTTTTTATTCATCAAAATATTTAGCAATTTAACCAAAACTTGTCTTCTTTGCAGCTATTAGTAATGCAATTCTGCTAGTGTTGTTTTCTCCACAACCTATCGGAAGTTAGACTATACCATTGCAAGAATGTTTTATGATTGATAAGTTTACTAGTTAGAGCTTTGATGATATCACTTCATCAAAAAAAAAAAAAAAACAAAGCATTCACCTAGACACCTAGTACTGGTAGAGGCTAGCATTTGTAATGAAGAAAAATATTAACACTCCGCTAACTGTTAGTATTTATTATTGAACAAGAGGTGAAAAGTGTGCTGAACTATTTCCCTTTGCAGATATTCTAAGATTGAAGAAGGTCCACAGATACTGTCAGATGGACTATGGAGACGAGCCTCTACTGCTGGAGCTTATAGTCCCATGGAGAAAAGAGCCTTTGGAATCGCCGATGACATGTAAACGGCCTAAATTCCACCATGCTATCAAATACGATTTCCAGATTACTTTTTTCACTTCATTGTTCTTCTGGATTTTGCAGATATGAAGCTGGTCTTCTTTTTGCGTACTTAGCTTTCATTCCATTTTGTGAAGCAGGAGTCATGGACAGTCTCACTTTACGAGTCTGTCACAACTCACATATTAACCACTGGACTAGTCAATTTCTATTTTTCATAATGCAATTGAATGTTATTTTTACCTGATTTATTTATGTACAAATTTGGAAAATGTGGTCTTAACTCAGTGATTATTATTGTTAACATGCAGAGGCTTCTGGAAAATACTTTTCAACTTGATCTTGAAGCTATAAGAGAGTAAGAGTGTTTTTACATTTTGGGATTTATTAATTCATCTTGTATGTTTGGGCAAAGCTTATGATTTGGATGGTGATTATACGGAGTAGTTTACAATTATGATGTTCTTAATCCATAGTCAACTGCAAGTTACTTGAGGATTTTTAACTTAAATAGGCTAAATAGTAAATAGTGTTCAATTTATAATCCAAAATCTTTGCCAAACATGTAAAAAAAGGATTATTTAATATGTAAATCTGATTAAATAATATTTTTTACCCTGCGTTGCCAATATCTTCAAATAATTTTTCTAATTGTGTATGGTATTGTAGGTTTTCATCAAGAATTACTTGACAAAATATTCTAGTGCTCAGTATTCTTGCAAGTTCTATTTTTCAGGGATGTTAGGTAGACACACACACACACACACACATATCGATGAGGGTTCTGCTGGATGAAGGTTGTTTTATATCCTGTCCTGACAGGTATTGTTTAGCTGATGACCGATTGTTAGAAGCTGTCAAGTTCTTGGATCTTGGTAATGGTGCTGGGTGGGAGTTACTGCAGGTTAGTAACGGTAACCTTGAAAAGCAAAAGTGACCTGTATTTCTTTGATTATAGAGTTACCTAAAGTAGAGAAATGAAAGCAACTGCATATATATACCTAAACTATTCATTTTATTTTCACGGTGCAGGCAATGCTGGATCGTGATTTCCGGAAGAGGCCAATTGCAGAAGCTGTACTGAACCATCGATTCCTGAGTGGTGCCTTCCTTTGAGGTACACTTATGAGCGCTAATAGTTTGTAAAACCAAACATCTTTTTCTACCTTTTCAGACTTGAACCTATATATACACTTCATAATTTCTCTGTAATACATTTTTTTTTTCTGGCGAGAGAAGTCTTAATTAATTTGTTGTGGCAGTTTAACTCTTCTGTTGTAATACATTCATCATCAATCAGAGAACAGTTCGAGAATAAGGTGATTCTATACAACAACATTTTGGCAATGTTTACTATAGGATTCTCACTGTGACTTGTTTAGATTATACAGACATTACTCTAATCAGGTAGCTTCACAAGAGCCAACCACAATTTTTCGCCAACTCGAATAGCCCAGACTTGAACAATCATCCCTTCTTCAAGATGGTGCCTTTCCCTGATTGCATTCCAAGTTTTGGTGATAACGCAGGAGATGCTATTGTTGCCATTTGCCTTTCTCATCTCCCACATGCGTAAGCTCACTCGACTTGTTTCTAACGATGGCTCGATAATCATAACATCGTCCAGTGATCCCACTTTTGTGCCATTGCGAGAAGAAAGCAGTCTCTCCTCGTCTTCGGTCAGAAACTTGACATCTCTCAGTTGTTTCGTGGGAATGGAAAGTCGATTTTGGTTTTTCAATAAATCGCTCATGGTTAATGTCTTTTGAATCAACAGCTTCTCATCAGAAATCATAGCATTGGGTCCTGCAAGTTGAAGAATTTTGTTCCTGAAATCTATAGGCATGGCGGGTGGTGGGTCCGGGCCTTGATGATGATTGGTCTTCTTGATCTTCTGTTTCTTTTTCTTCTTTGCCGCCGCCGACGTCTCTTTCTGATTAGTAGCGTTATCGTCACCTGTATCCCACGGCCTTGTTCTCTTGTTACTATTCAACACCGAATACGGCAGGCTAATTGAATAATCTCTCGACATCTTCATGGCTGCTGCCATTCCGCAAACATCGCCTTTGTCCTCGGAAGACGATGCCCGTGGCGGCTCGAGGATGTGACAATCAGGGCAATGTTGTACGTGTCCAATGACTTGTTCGTTAACAAGTCTTTCAAGTTTTTCAGGTTTCAGTGTACACACTTCAGCCAATAAGTCTAAACCACTATAGTCCTCAGGAAGTTGAATATAGTCTCCATCAGGAAGCAACTTTAACACCGTCTTCACCATCTTCTCCACCTCCTTCAATTCAACCAAAAAAGAAAAATCGTCAAAACACAATATATTGACAATCACAACACATAAAGTAAATGAATTAAAATTGGAAATTATACAACTGAGCATACAAGAAAACCCTAGCTTAAACAGAAACTAATAATTAAGGTAATTACATTTACCTGGCCTAACGTTGTTACTTAGAGACAACTAAGTGTGAATCTTGAAACAATTTAATGAGAGTTGTTATAAAGAGATGATAATAATAACTCAATGAGAGAATGATGTAGAAAACATGAGAGTCAAGTTGGATTGTTTTTATAATAACAATATAGTTTCCTAATTTTATTAGTTCTAGGATTCTTAATTTTTTAAAGAAAATTCCCGCCATCACTATGCCTCACACGGAAGATTTTTGAATGTTTCGTGCATAATTTTTCTTTTAAATAAATAAATAAATAAATATATATATATATATATATATATATATATATATATATATATATATATATATATATATATATATATATATATGCATCTTAACCTTTAATTACTTTCAAATATTGCACATTTATATTGTGTACTGAATAAATATTCAATGAGAAAATTTACTAAAATTATAAAGAGAAAGTGATAATAAAGTAATCAATATAAAAAAATATTAAACTTGAGGGTATGGTTGAGTGGAAGGAATTCATCCCTTATTAACCAAAGGTCAAAGGTTTTATCCTTTGGCATTGGGTAAACCTCATTTTTCCTATATTTTATTTCTAATTACCTATCATTGGTCTATAAAAATCAGTAAAAGTACTATATTTACATCCACCATAACTCTTGTATAATAATTGTTAAGACAGAAAATGTTCATCAATCGTCACCAAATATTTTTAATAAATAATAAAACTTTATAATGCAACTGTTGAAGATCGATCGAACCCAACAAAGGAAACCAGAACAATACAACTTCAAAACTCGAAAAAAATTAAAATAAAAAATCAGGAAACAAGACGATGATGAACAAACAAGAGAAACTTTAAACATTAAGAAAAAAGTTAAAATAATTTACCTAATGTTACTTTAGAGAGATGATAACACCGAGAGAATATTGTAAAAAATTTGAGTCTGAGTAGGATTACATATATTTATAACAATAGCATAGTTGTAGTATGAATGTATGATTAATTAGATTTAATTTATTTTGTTTTTTTTTAATGTAATAATATATCTCTACCTCCGAATTTCTTGCTACTAACGTTAATAACTGTGTAATGAATGAAGCCCCCTGATATTTAGAAAGTAAGATTATAATCCCTATTTTATCGGAGCTAAGCAAATCTGATTGGAGTCGAATAGTAATACAATTTGATTTACACTAAGATATACAAGTTCTTTTAAATTTTGTTTTGTTTTGTTTTGAGAAAGGTTCTTTTAAATTTTGTTTAAATAATAAATACAACATATATTAAATTGTTAAATTTAGGGGTCGGCATTTCTATTTTTTTTTTTGAAAAAAATAAAACTATTCAATTTCAAATTTTAGTTTTTGATTTAATATGAAATACTTCCGATTCAGTTTGGTTTGAGAACTCAAACATTTTCTAGTTCTGTTGTGCACATATAGAGTCAGGTTCTTGTGAAGTCAGGTCTTCCCGTGCGGTTAGTGCGGCATACACCATTAGGTATGCATAAATGCACCACACAGTGTTCGTAAATACACTATATGTGTAGTGTATTTTTTTGTGTGTGGTGCATTTTTTGGCATTTCATTCTGGTGTATTTTCGAACACTGTATGATGCATTTATGCATACCTAATGGTGTATGCCGCACTGACCGCACGGAAAGACCTGACCTCACATGAACATATATATATATATATATATATATATATATATATATATATATATATATATATATATATATATATATATATATATATATATATATATATATATTGTTTCAAAACGTTAAAATTCAAAAAGTTGTTCAAAGCAATTTTTTTTTATTAGTTTTTGGATAAAGTTATTTTGCATGTAATCAGTTAACCGCTAACAACTAATTTATCAAATATATTTCTACAATCAGCTAGTCAAACTCACTAACTTAATCAGTTAACTACTATTTACCAAACATCCCATTATTATCATGTCTTTGCAACTTCAGTCTTTATTGAATTGTTTCAAGATTCGCACTTAGTTGTCTCTAAGTAACAACGTTAGGTAAATGTAATTACCTTAATTAGTTTAAGTGTTTTCTTGTATGCTCAGTTGCATAATTTCCAATTTTAATTCATTTATTTTATGTGTTGTGATTGTCATTCAAAATGTTAATATAATATATTGTGTTTTGACGATTTTTATTTTTTGGTTGAATTAATGGAAGTGTAAACGATGGTGAAGACGGTGTTGAAGTTGTTTTTCGATGGAGACTATATATATTCAGCTTCCTGAGAATTATAGTGGTTTAGACTTATTGGCTGAACTGTGTACACTGAATCCTGAAAAACTTGAACAATGTAGCAAAAAATCCAAAATCGACTTTCCATACCCACCACCAAACAACTAAGTGGTGATGTCAAGTTTCTGAACGATGATGAGGAGAGACTACTTTCTTCTCACGATGGCACGAATGTGGGATCTTTGAATAATGTAATGATTATTATTGAGCCATCTTATCGCTAGAAACAAGTCGAGTGAGCTTTCTAATGTGAGAAATGAGAAAGCCAAATGGCAGCAGTAGCATTTCCTACGTTATAACCAAAACCTGGAATGGAATCAAATTAAAGAAAGAAACCAACTTAAAGAAGGGATGATGATCGTTCAAGTCTGGGCTATAAGGCTATTATTCAAGTTGGCGAAAAATTGTGGTTGGCTCTTGTCAAGGCTGCCTGATTAGACTACTATTAATTAATCAAACAATTACATTTGTTGTTTAACGAAGTTAAACAATTAATTAATAGTAGTTAAACAAGTTAGCTAATAACTCAGTGAAAGATTGACGTAAAAAAACTTGAGAGTAAAGTTGAATTATATAAATTTATGATAACAGTTTAGACGTTTAGTTTTGTAATTTTGTTAGATCTAGGATTTCTACCATTAATTAACTATAAAATTTATAATTACAGTTATTAGTTTCCTAATTTAATTTTGTTATACCTAGGAAAAGAAAAGTTTATTTCAATTCTATGATTTATACTCAGACAAGTATATATTATTGTAAATGAGTTAATTTCATTTTTTATCCTAGATTTATAGGTGACAATTCACTTTTAGTCCTTTTTTATTAGAACATCTTCATTTGGTCCTAGTATTATTGTGTCATAACCTTTTTTTAGTCCCTCATCATCAAAATCGTTGAAATATCGTAAAATATAAGGACATTTCAATCTTTTTTATACAAAGTAGGTTGAACTGTTATATTTTTTATGTTTATTTTTTTTGAAAACATCCATAATTGAAGATCGAAATGTCATTGTATAAAATCCTAATCATATGAGAACCACTCCCTATATGAGAACTTGTGGACAAATTCAAACCGTTGATCTGCAAGATTTGATGGATGAGAACTCAAGTAAAAAATGAATAGGGTTATTTTCATAAATATTACAATTTTTAAAATGAGCTGGTCATTTTCATAAATATTACAAAGTTTTGTTTATTTTCAATCTTTACATTTACTAGATAAATGGTTTGAATTTAGTAATCAAGAAGTTTAAACATTATATACATTTATTTATTTACAACAATAAACTTTTTTGCCCACAGGTCATCTGTGAAGATGTCCCGCAAGCCTGGTAAACAAACCGGAATAGGTATCACAGGTGACCCGGCCATGGATCGCCGGCACTCCCAGGTAGTTCCTCAAATTCGTTGTTCTTTCAATGCCCAGACGCCTTGCTATATTCTCTGCAAAACCCGGCTCAGTGTTCTTAGAGAAATAAACCTGGGACTTGCCTAGGCTAATCTTCTGACCCAATGCCGTACAGAATCTATCCGGACAATCTTTCACTACCTCAACCTGTGACATTGTAGCTTCCGTGAATAGCACCATGTCATCTGCAAAACAAAGGTGGGTTAGAGTAAGCCCATTGGTTGCTAAAGTAATACCTTTCCAAACCTGTTTATCGACTTCCGAATTATATACATTTATTTACTAGTGGCATTGCCTATTTGCCCACAGGTCATCTGTGAAGATTACTTGTGTTTTTTTTTTTTTTTTGCCCTCTAAATGTCTAGATACAATAAAATATCAAGACATTTGGCAATATACTCTCCCAATGTGCAATATAATTGCGGTCTTACGTGTTTTTTTTTTTCTATACAAAGTGATATGTGTTACACTAATAAGACATAAGCGGATAAAATTATTCTAAAAAATCAAGAATGTGTGTAGTATATTACTATTTTTTTTTTTACAACACCAATAAATAATTAAACAAGCAGTAAAGGTTAAGATATATATTTAAAAGAAAAATTATGAAGGAAACACCAGTTTAAATTATTTATTTACAAGTTCAAAAAAAGTTGATTGTTGTAAATAAATAAATGTATATAATGTTTAGACTTCTTGATTTACTACATCAACCTATTTCCAAACACCCGCCACACCTGAACCTTACTCTATATATATATATATATATATATATATATATATATATATATATATATATAATTGATGAAAATGCTCTAAGTATTTATCGTTAATTCATTCAATATTATGGATGTACTTGTTGTGATTGTATTATACTATCAATACATCTAAGTATTTCTCATCCTACCGTGTAGTTAGTTCTTAGGTGATAGATTGTGGACAAGAATACATGATCAAGCTTTAGTCTAGTGTAAGAACTACACACAATGTAGTTAACTCCTTGTAGCCACTTAATTTACCGCTAAATCGCTGTGATGTATCCCTCCGCTATCCTGTTGTGAGGCCCTTTCGGACAAGGAAATTTTGCCTTTGTGGGCAAGTTATTTCCTCCTACTTTTTGCCCTTCATTTGTTTTTGCATTGACATTCATGAATCAGTGCATTTCCACAAGTAAATTTTGCTACAAATAGGCGTTCTAATAGTTTTACATTGTCGGTAAAGCTTACGCCCAGCATTTATACAAAGGGAGAACAAAGAGGAGAGAACCCTCAGGCACTGAGTGACAAGGAAATTATGGAGGACAACTTATATTTGCGCACTTTACTGGAGCCTTGGGGCTGAAACACGACCTCTGTGCTAGATCGAACACAAACTTCGTTCCACTCAGAACCTGAAGCTCCTTCACCGTGATAATCTCGAGGGCTGTAAAGAACTTGAAGTTTTGAATGAGCTGCATCTCGAGTAGAAGAAGTTTTGTGAGAACACGGCAAAAGGCATAATTGCAAAAGATAGCAGAAACACAAATAGGAAATATCAGCCCGCCAGAAATGACGTGTGAAAGATCCAAAACATTCAAGAAAAATAACGCTAGAGGAGGTGCACCACAAGATAAGCTCTTTGGGCATATGCCTCGAAGACGTTATACTGAAATAAGTTGCACAATATAAAAATATAGACATTGATTATCATTTATCATCCATACTCAAGATAATAATCTGCATTTTATGTATTTATTTGTTTTGTGTTGGTAGAGATTTTGCATTCAAGGGCACCAAAGGGCAACTACCAAAAACTTACATCAAGATATAAAGCAAAGCAACAAAAGCTTAACCAGATCACTATACAAGTTTGAGTGAAGTCAACTGAAGAAACAGAAACCATTGACTAAGTTAAAAATCTGCTCTTATCGGCATACTTTTTCCATTCCACCTAAAGACACTGCTAATAACACAATGATAGGAGAAGGGAAAAGGTAAATCTCAGATCATTATTTGAACTCTTCTTGACTGGAAAAGAGCAAGCCTATACGACATGCTAGAAGATTGCAATTAAAATACTCAGATTTGGACATATAAACACTCCAGATACCTAGTCCAAATGGCAACATCTTCAAGAAAGAATACTATCAGTGACATACAACAAGAAGCCAAAGATGATGAAAACTTACCTAAACCAAACATGCTTGTCTTTTGGGTAGTCAGCCCACTAACTTTTGATCTCTTGATATTTCTTAATTCCAAAATATCATCCTTATCTCCTTTGAATTCCAGAAACTCTCCTAGGACAGATTTATTACTTTTAAGCTTCAATCTGCACAGATCAAATGGAAAACTTTCACCAACAAATATTCATAATAATAAACTGAGTTCTGTTAAATGCATTACTGATGAACAAATAGTATGAAGAACGAAGTCCCAATCACTAGCAAAAATGTAAAACAAGAGTCAAAGATATTAAAAAGAATAAGAAAATAAGGTATTTATCCTCAGGGACCCCTTACTACTGCCACAATTTTAACACAAGCTTTGTTTCCTTTCCTGTGCCTTATATTTCCAGGAAACACAATGACAGAATTATCCTCAAGACTTGCTACTAAAAACTCCGACTGGAGTTCTTTGTTAACCCCAAGTCCCCAACCCTGTCCCGGCACATATCTGGTGTGCCAGCATCTTGTTCTCCATCACCTTCTTTGGTTTAGTTTCCCTTCTTCTTCTTCTAATTTTTTGAGCTATCTTTATTAATGCACACAATCATGACATTATGATGTCAACTTATTTCTTATCTTCACCACTTACCACTAAAAATATCCTAAGCCTGCAGTTACCAAAAAACACTTCAACTTGCTCAAAGAGTATAAGGGAAAATTCCAAGACATCAACTGTTAAGTTCCTCTTTTTCTTTCATGTGCGTTGTTTGGGGTTGGGGTGGAGGGTGTACTGTTTTTAGTTTGCTAGCAGACTGGAGGTTGGCAAATACATCATCATAAGAAATGAAATGGACAACTCCATCCAGTTACATAATACATAAAGGAAGAGGGGATCCAGTTACAGAAAGCATCAAGGATGAAGAATAATAAAAGATGTAACTGAACAAACATCAAACAACCGACCTGTCCCACATTGGAGCTGTGCTGAGAATGGAATTAAGGCTCTCATGTATTGATTCCTGCATTTCCTTCTTTCCACCATGAAATGCACCTTTCATCCAACCAGAAAGCAAGCTATTTTTTTCAGGCTTTAGCTGTATCCACTGGTCATAAGTTATCACCTCAGGAGGAAAAGAGTCAGCATGAATGGTTCTGTGAAAAGGGAAGCAAGCTGAGAAACAATATCTAGTGAAGACAGCAGGAGCATAAAGCTGAGATTTCATTAAAATTTGCAACATAATACCGCAAGGATGTAGGTATATTACCATGCATAGAAAAGCAAAGCGCAAAACTACCTAGTACAACTTACTATCTCAAGTTGGAGACACTAGTTTAAACATTTCAAATGATCTTTCATGAGTATGTAAGCATACTCCTAGTCACCCTGGAAACCTAAAACCACTGCAATTCATGCAACACACTTATCCACCAATGAAGCAAATAGAATAGAACTTATTACTAGTCATCATCAATTGGAGTGGAGACAACTTTCCTAGATGCAATAGTCATCCATTGTCTAAACTAGGAAGGTTCACAACAAGAAAACATGCTTGGCCCATTGACAAAATCCAAGCCAACTATCACCGGCACATATTAACAACACCCCATGAATTATATAGGAACTCTAAATTAAGTCACCTTATGTGTACCAGAACATCTGAATGCATACCGAAAATTGGGATTTGGACATATGACCTTGCACGACAAATATCCTTCTGGAAGAGCTACTCCCCTTCGCTCGAGATATGATTCTAGGACGGGAACTAGTTCTTTTGTTTCAGCTACCTGAAATTCAAAAACATGATATAGTGACATGAAGACTGAGAGAAGCCCCAAAGCAATGGGGAGAGAAGAGTCCCACTAAAATTCTAGGAAAATATGCACTTATATATTCCAAAAATGAGCTTCCGAGAAACACTGGATGCAGGATCTTGTGGCCTTGTAGGGGATAAAGTAGGTCAGTAGCAAAGTACTTTGAAAGCAAGAAGGAACTAATTCTGTAGAGATGATTCAGGAAACAGACCATAAGCATAAAGAAGCATGGCAAATGAATGAAATGATCATTAACTTCATCAGGTTATGGCATCATCCAGATATCAAATGATGTTGAATTTAATAGCACTGAGATGATAACCAGAAATGATTTGCAACTTACAGGATCTGGAAGACGCTCTGTCTTGTCCTTATCTCCACCAATGCAATCCCAATTTCCATCTTTATCAACAGATACAAATCCCGATACATTCTTCACAGATATTACAGCAGCTTCTCTGGAAATTATGCAAACATTTCAGCAGAAAATAGAAGGAACCCAAAAGCAAATAATAAAACATGTATTTAATAAAGTCATAAACTATTTATGTTTGCAATTTTTTAATGGCAAACCTTTATTAACAATCACATAATCTCTGAAGTAAATTTACTACCAGCTAGGCAAGTGTAACAGAGCATGTAAAATAGAGAGTTTAACTAGAAAATGAGGAAAAATAGAAAAAGCACCGTTGAGTGACGAGAACAATATCAATATTCTGGGGAGATCCGGAATCGGCGTCTGGAATTCGGAGGCCAACATAAGCCTTACCACCGTAAAGCTGTTCCAACCTAGAATCAAGCGGAACTCACTAGTCACTACTCACTACCAAAATTTTTAACCAGTCAAGCAGTAGTGAATGGATGAGCAAAGTGACCGATTGCCGGAAAAGAGAGAGAAATTACCGTTTGGCCACGGAGAAAATGGCGTTGGCAGGGTAGGTCCCCACATCGAGATCGTCGCCGTTGGAGAAGAAGCGACGGAGCAATTGGAAGATGATGATTCCGATGATCAGCTCAAACCACATAATTTCTCACTGTTGTTGCTCCCGCCGTCGGCGATCGATGATCCTTTTAACAAGGATGAACTCTTCCGTAGCTTGGTTTGCCGGTTTCGAACTATGAAGTGTGATCCTTATCATCCCAATTATTAAGGAAAGCACAGTATTTTGTTTGTTTGTGTTTTGGGGTTTTGGATGGCCTACTGCCTAGCTTTTAGTTTAAGATAAAAAGTCATTGAATTTAAATAATCTTAAATAAGCCTCTGAACTAACTGAACACGACAATTTTTTTTTTAAACCAGTTTTAACATGTTTAACTTCAGATTTTTACTGATTGAATTGTTAAATGTTTTTTTTTATTTACTTTTTTTACTTATTATTATTATTATCATTGTAATTATAATCAAAAGAGAAAATGATCAAATAGACCTCTAAACTTTATCCTAAAAGTCAATTAGGCTCTTAAACTTTGCAAAATTACAATTAAACATTCAAACATGTCAAATTAGGTCAATGATGCCCAAAACCCAATAAATAACCTGTTATTACAGGTCATGTCAATTCCGGCGACAAAATCCGGTCGTCCGGTAGTCTTCCACCGGAGAAGACGACCAGATCTGGTCGTTCTTCTCTATTGGAGAAGGCGGCCGTCCGGTCGTCTTCTCCAGTGAAGACGACCGGACGGCAGGATTTTGTCGCCGGGCGCCGGAATTGAAATGACTTGTAATAATATGTCATTTACTGGTTTTTGGGTTTCATTGATTCAATTTGACATGTTTGAGGATTTAATTGTACTTTTGTAAAGTTTAGGGACCTAATTGACCTTTGAAGTAAAGTTTAGGGGCTTGTTTGACTATTTTCTCTATTCAAAATAGTTTTGTCCTGTCGGGATCTGGTTTATTTATTTATTATTTTTTTAAATAAATAAATAAATTAGATCTCAACACCACAAAATTATTTTGATTATAATTACTTTAAAATATATTACTATCTAGGTGGATTATAATAATAGTAAATAAATGAATAAAATAAAATATTTGACAATTCGATCTTCAAAAACCTTTAGTTAACCTGTTAAAAATTTTAATTATAATTTTTTTCGAATTCAATGACTTATTTAGGATTATTTGAGTTCGATAGCTTAATTGCTATTTCTCAAATAGTTTAGTGGTTTATTTGTAATTTATCTCTTTAGTTTATTATTATTTTCCCCATTTATTAGCTTAATTACTTAATTACCTTTGTAATATAATTCCAATTCAGCAGTGCACAAATTAAGCAGAGAACCGGTCATAGTAACGCTGTACATTACCTGCATTTAAGATACTACTTATATTTTTCGCGCTAAGCAGTTTATGAGAAATAAAATGAAAATAGAAACTGATGGAAACAGAGAGAAGACGGTGCGATTCATGGCTGATTAAAAAAAAAAAACAACAACATTTTATAGTAAAATTCAAAGAACACTCAACATAAAATATTGTTAATTAGTGATAATCATGATATGGTTTGCTACATGTTATATCCATATCCTACAATGTTTACTATAAGATTCTCACCCTCCACTGTAGATTGGTTTAGATTATACAGATATTCCTCTATTCAGGTAACTTGATAAGAGCTAACCACAATGTCAATTCTTAGGCCTGGTTAGTAAATGGTTGTTAGCTGGTAGCTTATTGGGTTAATTAGAATGTATAATTAGTTGATAATATTAGCCTAGACTTTGTTTAGTAAATGGTTGTTAGCTGATAGCTTATTGTGTTAATTAGAGGGTATAACTAGTTGATAACATTAGTTGATTGTAAAAAGGTATTTGTAAATTAGCTGTTTGATATAGTTTATTTTCTCAAAAAAGCTAATTGAAAAAGTTGTTTTGAGCAGTTTTTTGAATTTTAGCATTTTGGAGTTACAAAAAGCTGATTAACCAAATACTTATATTGATTTTTTAACCAAGTCAAACAATTAATAGTAGTCAAATAAATTAAAATTGGCTGATAAGCTAACTATTTTACCAAATAGGGTCATCCATGAACTGCTACTCCAAAATAGTTGCCAACAGAAATGGTTCTTTGGGATCAAAAGTCTGCCAATTGGTTTTGCAAAATAAAAAATTGTGACCATATCAAACAGCATCACTATAACAGAAGTAATAGGCCATATCAAATCCATATTAAGCAGATGTAAGAAGTATTACATTTCTTTAGTTTCAAGCATTTAGACACTGATACAAAAAGGTTAAATAACCACAATGACTGTCATAGTGAGAAACAGGCTGTCAAAAAGGAGACAGAGGGGAAGAAGAAGAAAAACAAAACCAACTAAAGATGATGATACACAACTTCTTTTCATATTTAACGCCTATTAGGAAACAAAAAGGAATTAAGCAGCAAAAATCATCAAGCAAACGGTTTCGGTCCCAATATCTGATCTAAATATATCTCTACAGGTCAGGTATAAACCGGTAGATGAGTGGGTGTTTTGTTTTACTTCTGGCTGACAGCGCCTTTCTTCTTAAGTAGGCTTCCGAATTTACTTAGCAGAGGCTTCTTCTTCTTCAGGCTTTGTGGCTTTACAGGAGAGGTGTTTCCATTCTCGTGCTTTTCTATTGAAGATACCCCGTTTGGCTGCTCATAGTTCTCATGGACTTCTTCCTTTGCCTCGGCCTCTCTTTCTGGAGACGAGTCTTTCTCCACAAACTTAAACTCAGCTTCTACAGAATCATTAGCTTGCTTCTCTTCGATCTTGCTTTCTTCTTTTTCTTCGTTCTTGCTTTCTTCATCTTTGGCTTCAATAGCATTCTCTTTGGGATTATCACTCGAGTCGTTGTTATTCACTTCTTTAAATTCTTCCATTATTGAGGGCTGATAAGGCGGGAGTTCCATCTTAGGATTTTCATCTTTGACACCATTTTGTTCAGGGGATTTCGGGAGGGGGAGCATATCAGAATCTTTTTCATTGTCTGTAAGCCCTCCGTTTTCTTCAGCTTGCTTTTTGGCCAAAGCTTCTTCGAGCATCTTGGACAATTCCTCGATCTTCTTCAATGCTGAGGCCTCTCTACTTCGGAGTTCCTCGTTCTCCTGAAGAAAGTTTTGCAGTTCGTTTTCTTTGTCCATTAGAGACTCTTTCAGCTTCATGCTCTCGGCCTTTGCCTCGCCCAGAACCTCCTTTAGATAAACGACCTCGGAGTCTGTTTCTTTCAGGGAATTTTGCAAACGAGCTTCGGCTTCCCTTGCATTGGAAGCATCTTCTTGTGCCTCTTTTAACGAGTTTACGAGCCTATTGATTTCTTTCTCCATTGATGAATTTGCTTCCTCGGTTTTCACAACACAGTTCATCAAATCACGCTCCTTTTCCTCCTGCTCGGCCTTCAACGTCTCGTAATCTTGCTTAGACTGCTCGACGGAGTTAGTAAGAAGATCAATTTCTTGCTTTGCTTCACCAAGCATGTTCTCGTGCCTCTCGTTTGTGGTTTTTAGTACCTGCTTCAGATCTTCTATCTGTGTTTCATAATTCCCGGTTTCAGCTTGGCTAGACAACAGCTTCTCTTTGGCTTCTCTTGCTTCTGAAGAAACTTCGTGCAAAGCTGAGGTCAAACTTTCCATCGCTTTCTTGTTTTTTTCTTCTTCCTCCCTCGAACTTTTCAATTCATCAAGAAGTTTGTTCTTCTCTTCAAGCAGTTGTTCTACACTGTTAGCTGCGAGTTTTTCATTATTTAAAGCCTGGATTTTATCCTCTTTTACGGTTTCCAGCTCAGAGCTAAGGGATTCGACTTTCTCAGCCATTTTTGAAGCCTCTTCCCGGGCCATCTTAAGATGGCATTCTGATTCCTCAAGTTCTCCTTTTTGCCTGTCAACCGAGAACTCCAGTAAGCCCAGCTTCTCTTTGAGAGATGCAATCTCGGTTTCTGCATCGTGCAGCAAATCGTTTCTGCCTTCCAGTTCTTTCATGGCGGATTCCAGAGATTCGGATGCAGACCTCTCAGTTCTTTGTGCTTCTGAAGTCTGAAACTCTAAATCCTCGACTCTTTTCTTCCATTCCTGGACGAGATTATGTGCATAAGATGCAGCCATTTCTGCAGCCTCCAAATCGACTTTACATTGTTCTAAGACAGCCTCTTTTTCCATCATTTTCACTTCATAACTTCTTGCCATCTCGAGTTCTTTCCTCAGAGTCTCTATCTCGAGATTCAGCTCCTCCACTAGCTGATTCTTCTCAGTGGACTCGCTCTCTACCCGGGAATCGAGCATGGACTTAACTCGGATGAGTTCGGAAGAAAGAATCTCGACTTTCCCAGCATGAATTTCAGCAATCTTAGTGGCATCATCAGCGTGGGCGAGCGCCTGGTTCTTAGCGTCACAAGTCATGGCAAGCTCTTGCTTCACCCGTTGCAGCTCCTGAGTGGCCGAGAGAAGAGAAGCCACGTCCAAAGCGTGTTGGCTCCTCACCGCCTCGATCTCTTTCTGCCATTCCTCTTCCTTCTTCTGAGCCGCTTCGATCCCAGCTTGCTCTATCTCAACAGTGCGAAACTTCTCAATCTCGGAGTCATCTTCAGCCCGCTTTTGAGCTATCAATGCCTCTCTGAGCTTCTCGTTCGCTTCCTCAGCCAACTTCTTCGCTTCCTTCAAATCATCGAGAGCCCGAGTTTTCTCCTTCTCAACCGAAGCCAACTTCTCCTTCGCCTTCTTAAGATCTTCCTGAGCAAGATTCAGTTCTGTCTGTAACTCCGATGGCTTCAACACACGAGCCGGCTTTTTCTGAGAGAAACCAAAACCCAACCGCAGTTCAGATCAACATATAACTTCCACAAAAAGTCTCATCAAGTCATAAATGCAATAGCAACCAGAAATCATAATTTTTTTTGAGTACTACTGACTCTGTTACAATGCAGTATCTGTTCATAACTACTTTCTCAGCCTACTGAAGCACAGTGGAGGCTCGAATCCACAACCTCCTATATGGAAGAACAACTTGGTGCCACTAGACCAGAAGGTCATTGGCTTCACTAGTAGATAATGCAAATTATTGGTTTTGAGATTAATGTTAAATTATAGTTTGAACACCAAAATCCAAAAAACACATGAACCCTTTGCAGGGAATCTGGGATCACAACCATATATTAGTTGCAGCGTGGCACCCCGGAGCCAAAAAAACACCAAGAAAAGAGACAAAAAACATGGGAAGTATTTAAATATATCCATGAAAATGCAGTGGAATAAACAACACTTATTAGTTGGATTCACTGCACTAACATCAGGTGGAGTGCCAAGCTTAGTGGACCTTCCCACAGAAGGCTTTGGAGCTGCAGATCTTGGAGACTGATCGACCGAAGAGCGCAAGTTCTGCGAAGGCGAATCGCCATCAAATTTAGTTGCTCCTCTGCTCACTTTACTAGTAGCCCTAGGAGTTGCAGGTGATGTTTTGCTCTTAGGGGTTTCTGGCAGTGTAGATCTGGTGCAAGTTCAAACAAAAACCATAATCAGAAAACAACCAAACCCCATTCATTACTATCCTGCTGCAATGATCCACCCTAAACATAGAAATGCAAACAAACAATCTTCTATCTCATCCAAAGATGGAAGCTTTTTACTCAAATTCAGCCTCCCAAGCATAATTCTTGGCCCTTAATTACAGCAAACATCATTAAAAGAAAGACCAAGAAAATTGGGGCAAATGGGAGTGAAAAGCATCAGATCCAAAACAACAACTCCAGCTCCCAACAAAACACAACCCAGTATGCATATGCTCATAATGTGTAACAAAAACAAGAAAGATAAGCAGGGCAAAGTAAATAACATGCAAACCAGATCTGAAAAATCAGAAAAAAGAAAGAAAAAGTAAAGTTACATACTTGGATTTGGTGGACATGGTGCCTGGTGGGGAAGCAGATAGTTGCTTATTAGCAGTAGATGAGAGAGGAAAGAGGAAATGGGGTGTTTTATGCTAAAATCTCAAGCATTGTCAGGCTGCCATTGTTGTGAAACAGAAAGGAAATCTCTCAGAACACACAGTTTCATCAGATTGCTGTGTGATATATAGGTGTATGGATATGTATGTGTTGGTGGGGGGTGAATGTCAGCTGCTGTATAAAGGTTGTAGTACAAGAAATAGAATTGGTATAGTAGCAGAAGTATCTACAAAGAGCAGATGCAGAGAATTGATGGGGAAGAAGAATTTACAGAGAAAATCATTTGAAGTGGGGATCCTGCAGCTTCAGTCTTCTCTCTCTCTCTCTCCCTTTCTCTCTCTCAACCAGCAACAGAATAGGCGGCAGTAAAATAGAACCCAACACAAATTGTATAAAATGGATGTCTTCTTTTTCTTGATTATTACACACCCACTTAATATATATTATCATAAACCCCAATCTTAATATCAATGTCTAAATAAACTGGACAAAACAATTAAAAACCCAATCTTTGACACACATGCAAAAATCTATCATTTCCTCAACTGTTACCTTACAACTGCATTAGCCACCACCTTCCAAGCTGTTAGGTCTTAATATCTTAATTCGAAGACAACTCCAGCTAAATTAGTCAAACTGTTAACTTAATAATTAATCGGTTAACTATAGACAACCTAAACTAATATTCCTTAACTTGCTAGAATTACAATGCCAGATTTAATCCATTCAGAAAGTGGATACGGAATTTCCTCTACCGTCGTCACTTTAAAAAATCAATCCTCAATCGAAATCAATAAATTTTAAAATCCTATCACCCTGTCAAAACAAAGATAAAACTGATAAGAAAAACAGTTTTTAAACCTTATCAACTCGACAAAATCGGGGTATTAATGCAGGTAATCTAACATTATTTATTAATAACATGAACAGATCTTTTGTGTACACTGACATTTGACACTGTCTGTTGAACTACCGTGTTACCATTATTTATATATTCTCTTCTTCCAAAAGGTTGAATCCCCAACCCTAACAGGGTGTTTGGTTGGAGGGATTTTAAATTCCCTTCCCACTTAATTCCCACCTAATTCCAAAGGCCATTAAATTCCGTAGTTTGGTTGGAGGGAATTGTAATTCCATGGAATTAAAATCCCATGTCTCCCCTGGTATTTTAATTCCTGGGAAAAAAAGATAGTGATGAGTCAAAATTACTCATTCCTTTTTTAACCTAAAATTAATGTCTAACAACAATAATGGACATTTTTGACTTTATACTACTTATTCCCTTTCAATTCCCATGTATACCAAACATTGGAATTGAAATTCCCAGTAATTATATTCCTGTCAACCAAACACTGGAATTTAAATTCTCACTTTATTCCCAGTAATTCAACTCCCATGGAATTACAATTCCTTTCCCACATAATTCCCCCCTCCAACCAAACGCCCTGTAAGGGCCCCACACCTAGACCCAACAGAGTATTTGGGAGGATGTAAATCACGGTGACTCGCCTGGTTCAGTGAATAGAGCCAAATGCGGGTAGGCACAAAAAATCTGTCCACTTTAAACATAATTTTCACACGCCACCGCCGAGATTAGAACATTGGTCTCTTCTCACATGTTGTATTGGATAAGTGGTCAAAATTGGGGTACTAATGCAGTTAATATGATATTATTATATTAATAGCATCTGAAAGTGTACGACAGGGTACAGATGAGAGATGAGATAATCCGGTTGTGGGTCAAATCTGGGAAGAGAAAACCAACCAAAGTCAAGAAAGAGGTCCACTAGTGTTGTTGGGGCGCAGGTAGGCAGAGAGGAGTAGCTTCCTTTATTTATTTATTGAGAAGTGAGAAGTGAGAACCCAAAACGACAGCAAAAAAAGAAAAAGGTAAAGAAAAGGAAAAGGAAATGACCTGTGAATGCATACAATCAGACTGCCTTTTCCTGCATAAAGACACCAAAAACGGGAGGATTCCATCATTCACTGTGTTTCTTCTTCACATGCTAGGCTCTTGGCGTGTTGTAATATAGGCGGAAACATCGTCTTTAAATTGGTAACCTTTTTCATGTCAAACCACATTTTGTTTTTAGCATGGAATTAATCATTAAGACATGGGTTAAGTTGCATTTGTCATCTGCAGGGAATGCGCAAGATAAGCTAAGGAAGAAGCTACTTGTAGTAAAGTAAAGTCGTCGGTTCAGATTGCATTTCAAACCAACCAACCCACCCTTCCGCCTTTTGGTTCAACAACAATTTTTTTTTTTTTTTTTTTTGTACAGAAATAAATTAGCAAGTCATTATTGAGAATTGTTTTTTTTTTTTTTTTTTTTAAGTTCGATGGTCCAATTGTCGTTTGGTGTTGATGTTGCAAATATGTTTGTATTATTCACAGTCAATTACGTTAAAGATACACTTGTATTTTTCCTGAACAGAATTAGGTATCCTTTGTTTTCAAAAGTCAAATGTGCCTTATATAGGAGTGTGGAGGGAACACATGTCAAACCTTCGACATGTCGGGCACGTGTAATTTGTGTACAGCTAGTCAGGATAATACAAATTCTTCTAGTTCCACGTGCTTTGGGAACTCTAATATATCGCATGAAGGTGATGTGACTAAACAATTTGCTCGTGTTATGCTTTTCTTTGATAAAGTTAATTGTGTTACAAGTCCCATGCTCGGGTAAACATCTCCCGATCACGAGAACTAACCCGACTAGAAGTCATGTTATGCTGAACGAGGAAGCATCTCTCCCGACTACAATCCCGGTCAGGAAAACCATAAGACTTATTGATTATGCTCGGGAAATGATGTCGGTAACTTTTTGTACGGTACCCAAGCACATGATTAAATATTCGAGGATGGTATAATCCCCCACAGGTGTGTAGTTGGATGGTTTATTTGACCATTATTCCTTTAATATTTAAAAATGAATCAGTTTCAATCTTATAATTGAAAATTTTTATATTTGATTTACAAAAAAACCTACAATCACTACCTAAAGGTGCGCATTAAGTGAAACTTATTTAAAAGTATCTCCATAAAGATTATGACAAGTTTTCCTTCTCCTAAATAAACTAGAATAAGTTTTAATGCCACAAGTCTCACAAACCTTTTCATGATAGATTTTAGGCATGTACCCTGGTCCACTTTAAGTCACTAATGGGATACAAAATGTTATTAAGTAATCTATTAAATTTTCCAAATGAAAGGTCATGAGTTTAGTTTTTTTATTTTATTTTATAAAGTATTATTAATTCTGTTATAATGTAGTATCTGTTTACAACTACTTTCTCTTTCACTAAGGCTCGAATCTATGACCTTTTAACTGGGAGAGTTACTTCATGTCACTAGACCATAAGGTCATTCCCTATACATACAGAGTATATTAATATCAAAATAGATTTAAAAACAAAACAAAAAAAGTCGTAGTGTGCAATAAATTGTGGGGAGAACATGCTATGCTGCCCATGCAGCTTTTACTAAAGTCTAAAGTATAAGACTGAAAACAAAAGGTGACGATTCATTATAGTTTTTCTTCCCTGCAAATTATATCGTGGCGGCCCTTGGTATTGCCTTCTATAGCAGTGTTGTAAAAATTGCGCCTAGGCGTCGATTAATTGGTGTTTAGGCACCCGTTGGCCGCTGCGAGGAAGGCCGAAATCGGCTTCCTCCGCGATTGGTCGGCCGGTTCTGCCGCGTACAATTTCTTTTTTTCAAATCGCGTATATTTTTGAGATCTATCCACCGCAAACTGTCGAAGACGGTTTGACCCTATAAGAAACTGCTAAAAAATGCACAAAAACTTTCAAGAGTTAGCAGTTCAATGCTTTGAAAATGTTTTTTCTCATAAATTTACAAAAAACAAAAAAACAAAACAAAAAAAAAAAAAAAAAAAAAAAACAAAAAACAAAACAAAACAAAACAAAACAAAACAAAAAAAAAACAAAAAAAAACAAAAAAAAACTCCATAAAACATCTTTAGGTACTTTAAAAAAAAAAAACATAATAAATAATTAGTATTTATGCATATTTAAAAAAAAATATTTACAAATATACACTTATATTTCTTATATTTGTACCTTTTTTTTGGGTACTATCTATCCTGTGTTTTTCCATTTCCATATTTCTTATTTCCTCATTTCTGTGCTACCTATCTATCTATCCAAATAGGAAACTCTTTTTTTTGAAAATATGAAACTCTTTATTTGGATAAATATTAGAAATACAAGAGAAAAATACATAAGATTTCTATGTAAAAGAGTTTTCTTTTTTAAAATACCACACTATTTAAAACACTTATAAAATATAATTTAATGGCCCGGATTTCAATAATATGCCTATCTTTATGTATCCCCTCCACGCACAAGTATTATTGTGCAGCAGTAAATGGGCACATGCAGAAGGGCTCTGCTGCTTTTTCTATGATGCCTACCACCTTTACCTACCTTATGAGAACATGCAAATAAATCTTATTCGTTCATATAAGATGATCAATGACTAAAAATTAAGAAGAAAAAAAACGTGTAATAACATTTTTATAATTAAATGATACATTTAAAAAAATATAGTAATATTTTCACAGATAATTGACAATGCACTTAAAATCTATAATAATGTATCACATGTGTGCACTATTAGTTACTCATAGTTACATTATCAAACATTTTCAAATACACCATCATAATTACAAAAATACCACTGTATTTTTTTAAAAAAATTATTTTTTCTTAATTTCCAAAAATACCACTCTATATATATGTTGTGTGTGTGTTGCACACTTGCACTGATATCTGCATATGTAAGATAAAACTAATCCAGTTTGAGCATCTACACTACTGAAGAGGGGGGCCCCAACTTTACCTGCCCAAATCAAGTAAATGCTATTTAGTGCATATATTTAACCATGCCTGACTAGGATCATAGACTTACACTGCAATTTCATAAAGAGACATAAATAAGGTCCATGACTCCATGTATACAACTTTACTCTCCAATAAGCTCAAAAGCCAGTGAAATGCAAATCAACAGTGGGGTAAAAGGTAAGTATGCTAGCCAACATAGAAAAAATACCAAAAAAGAGTCACAAATTCTAAAAGAGATTACAGGCAGAAGAAGATAAGATGTACCCACCACATTTGACATTCCTAGTACTACTACACCTGTTTATGGGATTCAAACCAAACAATCCAAGAACGCCACTTAGAGATCCCTAATCCCGCTAAAAACGTGGAAACAACTGCACCTTATTAACCGGCCATTTACTCACTAAAGAAACAAAGGAAACTAACATGCATCACAAAGTTCTCTTTAATCATACATATCCATATGTGTACATAACATTTACACATACACATGCAATCATTAAACTCTCACACATAATAGCTCCTGCAATGCATATGGGGTTCGAGTGGACCTTAGAAGTACGACCCATGATATGGATTGGGGAAGATATGATAGGCTGAACTTCTGGACGAGTACTAAAACCACTAGGTGTACCATTAGGTAGGGGGCAACCGTATCCTTTGATGAAACTTGAGCAAATCCAAAGTACGTGGTCCTTGTGCTTCTCTGAAAAAGAAGACAATGGCATTCATATCTTTAAGAGTACTACATATATCTGAGCAATATAAACATAGGAGAGGCAGATGTGATTTGAAAAAGATGAGAGCATTTGTATCTCAAATAGTACTATGGATATTTAAGCAATATGAACACATAGGAAAGGCAAAACTGGCTTAAGATTCCTGTATGAACCTCAAAAACCATGGCTGAAATCTATCCCTGCTTGCCAATACAACTTTCCCTACCACTCTAGGTTCACTCTTAAGTTTCAAACCAAACTACTACTGCATCTTTTCATTGCAAGTACTTGAGTCTAAAGTTTTACGCAATATATAATCATCAAAGAGAAAAGGCAGTTCTATTAGTCTCTCTTAACTACACAATAAATGTCACCAAGGCCCAAGGGATTGCTTAGCTCATCAAGGTAAACTCCCAACAAAGGATTTACATAATGTGAGCAAGATCAAGCACCACATAGAAAAACAAGAAGTAAAACAAGCTGCATATAAAAAATCTGCCTTACATAACTGGAGTATACTGTACACCACTACACCATAATAACTGGTTGACAAACAACAAATGTTATATATAGGAATTAGGATAGCATGCCGTTTCTTTTACATTTCTAACTCGCAGTGAAGATCATAGATGATGAAACTCCACCTATTCATCATCATATGAAATATGGAAGTCTGTAGTACAGCCAGATGCCTCAGGATCTTCAGCACCACAACAGTCATAAAACTTGGCAGCATAAGGAGGGTCATCGGGTCCCAACTCATAGTACCTTCAAAAAATGGAAATAATAAATCATTCTGTCCTCTAAGAAATTAAAAAATTATAAGAAATCTGAAATCACAGAAAGGTCTTTGAATGTCAACCCCATGGAAAGGGGAAAAAGAAAATGAAAGCATACATACACCAAGAAAATAGGAGATAAAAGGGGCATCATTAGACTAGGATAGCAAAACCTGGAAAAGTATATCTACATAAGCTGATATTAAAGAAAATGGCATAGTATCACATCAAACTAAAGGCCGGTAATGTAATCAATCCAAAAAGAGGGATGCTACTTGGATTCCATTACTCCTTAGTGTGAGTTTGAGTATAAGCCTTTGCACTAGCATGTGTGACACAACTAGTACCTGAGTGGCTGAGTAAATTATGGTCTCTTTCTCTCTCTTGTTAAGTTTTGTAGAATTCTAAAAAGAATTAGCAAAAAGCCCTCTCTAGAGACTTAACTGGATACATCATAATTGTATCCTTACTAACATAATGATGCTTCAAAGTTTTAATATGAAGAAAATATTACCCCACAGTGCAACAAGTACAATTAAAGTAAGTTAGTTCAAACTTTCCTTTACAGATCGCTCATAGACAAAGAGCATGTGGTTGGGAACTTAAATACAAAGAAACCATTCCGAAGGTTTGGTATACATGATTTCAGTGACTTGCACTGCTTCATCAGTTCTTGAAGTCCTTTGACTCTTTATTTAGAATAAAGAAGTTCAAAATTTGAGGCATAACTATAGAAATTGGGCCTAGGTCTGATGACATCACCATTATCTTCCATAAGGAAGGTTTCATGTATGAGTCTCAATAAGTCTCATCCCAATTAGGTTGATATTAGGTTGAGGAAATACTACTTATTAGAATATATATAGGGGTGTTTGGTAAATAGTTGTTAACTGATAGTAGCTAGATGATTGGATTAGTGGATTTGACTAGTTAACTGATTGTAGAAAGTGTTTGGTCAATTAGCTGTTAGCTGATAGCTTATTATATACAAAATGATTTTTTCAAAAAGTTGATTGAAAAAACTAATTTGAACACTTTTTAGAAATTAATCAAACATTCATATTAATTGTTTAATCAAATCAAACAACTAATAGTTCGTCAAATAAGCCAAAATTGGCTGGCTAACTATATTACTGGGTCATACACTTTCAGCATTAATCCAAAATCTAAGACCCTCCGTAAACATTTCTAATTGTTTGAACCTTTGTATTCAACACACACACACACACAATCTGAAAAAAGGAATACACGCTCGGAAATGAAGATCAATTCCAACAAAATTAATGAAGATTGGATTAAACATAAAAACTTTAAGTCGCGAATCAAAGGAGAAAATTACCTTTTCTGATCATCGTGACGGCGACAGACGAAGAATGAAGGATGAAAGCGGCAGGCAGAAGGGGTGTTGGAGTCGGAAGTGTAAGTGAACTTGCATCTCTTGCACACCTTCTCTCTCTTCTTATTGGATTCTTCATCTTCTTTCACCATCTTTGCATCCTTTTCCATTTCTCAAAATTATTAGCTGCTCCCAAGTTCTAAGTGCCCTCGTATCTGATTTAATACGCTCCGATTAAGCGATTTGGTTAGCTGAATGCTCGTCCGTCTCCAGATGAAAAACAGCGATTCAGCCGGTTTGTTTTGTTTTTGTTTTTTTCTTTGTTTTTTTTTTTTAATGAAAAGTCGATTAAACCTTCGAACCAAGAATAATTTGATAGAAAAATGTCAAATATGTCACTGAATTTTTATATATTACGTAATTGAATTATCTAACAAAAATGTGTGTAATTAAATTATTAAAAATTTAAAAAATTGTATAAATAATATTTTTTACTGGTTACTTTCATGTTTTCTTTAAATATAATGTCATAATATCAAATTATATATAAAAATTATTTTAATATTCTTTTTAAAAATTAAAAGGAAAATTTTTTTTTTTTTAAATATAAGAAGAAGGTTGAGCTAGTTACTAGTTATGACCGTACAAGTTTGCTTCTTAGGTTTAAATTTTAGGTAATTATTAACTCATTTTAAAATTAAATTTTGTTGAATTAATTAGATTATTTCACAAAAATTATCAAATAAACTCTCAAATAATGTGATATAGCAATTAGACTTTTAAACTATTAAATTTTTTAATTAAATATATTAATTTAATAAAGACGGAAGATACTAAATGTGAAAAAAAAAATCAAATAAATCATTAAATTACATATCAAAGTACAATAAAACTATTGACTTCAAAAAGTTGAAATCATGTTACTGGAGAATACAAATTCATGCAATTGAATATAAAATGACATGTTGAACATGTAATAGATGACGATGTGGTTATTAGATTTTAAAATATTTTTTTAAAAAAATTATTTTACAAATTTTTAATAAAAAAATACCTTTAAAAAATTCGTTGCCGGTCCATTATCTCCGTTGGAGACGAATGACGAAAAATGTTTCCATCCCCGATCGGAGACGAAGAAGGCTCTTTGTCTCCAGTTGGGAGACAAAGAAATGATTTTCATTTTCAGTCGGAGACGAAGAGAGACTCTTTGTCTGTGATGGAGACGAAGGTGAGAAGAGGGGATGGCCATCGAGTTTTTGATTTGTTTTTTGTTTTTTAATTTAAAAATATTTAAAAATAAATTTTATAAATAATTTTTAATCTAGTAACTGCCACATCATATATTACCGAATCAACATGTTATTTTAGGTTTAATTGCATGAATTTACATTGTTCATTGATCAGCATGCAATTTATTGGTTTAGATGACCTATTTTTAAGACTATTATTAAAAATTTTAAAACTAGTTAGCATGTGCGCATTGTCCAAATATTCAAATGACCAATGTGTATTTTTAAATTACAGAGTAGTATTTCAAAGTTTATCAAAGTATCATTTGGTATCCTGGTGTATATAAATGCAAGATTATCAAAATTTTCATAAAAGTAAATATTTCAAGAATACATGACTATGACCCGTGCCTGATTTTCTAAAAAATTAACTGGTGCAATAGCAGTTTTAGAGGGAAACACCCTCAGTGGATAGTACCCAAGCATAATTTTTACAACACAAAATCCTATTAATTGACGTGATCCATGTTTTATCTTGTTGTCACTTCCGCCCGAAATGAATTCTTGATTTAATCTAGTCATCTGGTGTGTTTCACTGCAATTTTAGTGTCTTGGCGCAATGCACCTTAAAAAACATAATCAAATCCTCTTTCCCCCAAAAAGACAATGATAATATGCATAATTTCTCATCTGTGTTGAATATATACTGTAAATTAGGTGTACCGTTTCATTAACGTCTAATATGTGATTATAATTAGTTTACCAAAGTTCATGTTAAATTTTATATTTTAATTTTTAATATATTCTAAAATATTCATATTATATGTTTAACAATTATGTCAATTTTAATTGAGATGAGATTCGAACCTAAGATCTTCCATATAAAAATCAATAAGTAAGTTAAGAATAATAAATAATTAACAGAATATATGAGTATTTAAGAAATAAAAAAAATATAATAAAAGATAAAATAATAAATAATACTAAAATTAAAGTAATATGAATTATTCACTTCAACAAATAATTACACTAATTTTTTTTAGTTCATATTAATAGCATAACTTTATTGACTCTTATTAAGTTTGTAGGGTATATATTTCAGTATTTGTATAAATCAGAGGTACCATAGAATCAGCCAATTTTATAAAAAAAAAAAATAATAAAAAAATATTGGCCAATAATATGAAAAGTTTATTGGCCAGTGAAATTGGACATCCCAAACTCTTTGTTTCTATTTTTGAGTTGAGTTGCTGTAATTGATTCTTCTGGTACTTCGTTACTTTACCAACTGAAAATACCAAAAAATCTTCTCTTCGGGTTTCTTGCCTGCGTTTCTCATTGCTCCAGATATGCTATTATCTTTTATCTGATAATATCTTTTCACTGAGTTAGGGTTTTTGAATCTGTATCTCTGCGCGCGTGCTTGGCGTTCTGATTGATTGATATTGGGGGTTCTTCTTTCTGAACTGTTTCTCCGTGTAATGTTCTGCCAGAAATTTGAGTGAGTAATGCTAGTTTCTGTGATTCAGCTCTAAATCGTGGATTCTGGGCTTCTTATCCAGTTTGGGTGAGCATAAAGGATTGATCTTTATTCAATTATATCAACAATTTTGAGGTTCCATTGTTGTTTCAATATTTGGTTATATATTTCTCCTGTATATTGTACTATCTGTTTCTGTGGTTCAATTCAAGTCTTTTTGGCTCCCCCTTTTGATGGATTTCATGGGAGAAGAAAACTGGGGTGTTCCTGACCAGGCTCTTTGGGCTACTGAGGATGATTACAGTGCCTGGAACAATGGTCCCTCTGCTGAAACCACCCCTTCAAACTCTAGCCATGATGGGAAGTACTGGTCTGGCAGTGAGCCTCCTAACAAGAAATCCCGAAATTCCCAGGGTTCAGACTCTCATGTCATAGTTCCTAATAGATCCAAAGCGATTGGCAAGATGTTCTTCAAGACGAAATTGTGTTGCAAGTTCCGCGCTGGGGTCTGCCCCTATATAACCAATTGTAACTTTGCTCATGGGCTGGAAGAGCTCCGGAAGCCGCCCCCTAATTGGCAAGAGATTGTCACTGCACATGAGGGCGATCGTGGGGGAGCGCCAGTGGAATCGAGGGAGGAACACCAGATTCCTATTTTGAGTTCCCCTGATTCACGGGCCGAGTTTCAGAGGTCTTACAAAGGAAGGCACTGCAAGAAGTTCTATACTGAAGAGGGATGCCCGTTTGGGGATAGTTGCACGTTCCTTCATGATGAACAATCGCGGTCTAGGGAGAGTGTTGCTATAAGCGTGACTCCTACTGCAGGCGGTTGTGGCAACAATTCGATAGCTGTAAACCAAAAGCCTACCAACTGGAAGACAAGAATTTGTAATAAGTGGGAGACTACAGGGTACTGCCCATTTGGCAGCAAGTGCCATTTTGCTCATGGAGTAGCAGGTAAGGCGAAATTTTGCTAGTATGTTAAATTCTGTTTGTTTATGGGAAAAATTCCTTTGTCTTATAGAAGTAGGGTTAATCTTCCCTTATAGTGTGGTGGAGAATACACATCTAAAGCTTCCTGACTCTGCTTATAGAGTGGGATTTCAGTCTGGTTCAAAACAGTGAAGGATCTTGAACCAAAATTTATCCCTCCCATTCTCCCAAGTAATAGGAAAGGGGGTTGAGAAGTCTATATGGCATAACGTATTCCATGTTGGGATGCACTATCCTTGAGGTACTGAGTGACAAGAATTCTGTGTTTATACAAATTCTAGGTGGAGTGTGGTAAGAAGGGGGATGGGAGAGAGTACTCCTAAAATGGTTGTGTTCCATTTTCCTTCTAACCTATCAAAACATGGTTCGACATTCTTCATAAAAATCTCAGTTATATGGAGTAGTATTTAATTTTCATACCAACCATGTTCATTTTTAGCTCAACTTCTACTTCAGACACGTTTCAACTGTGCTAATGATTGCTACTCTAGGGTGCATGTTTTTACAGTGTTGTAAAACTCGGCCTAGGTAGCCATCAGCCACCTGATGGGCACCTAGCGCCTTCCACAACACTGTTTTGGAAGGGAAATATCCCCCGAGCATTCTGGATGCCCTCATCATAATTCATAGCAAGCTTTCAATAGTTGAATATTTCTTTCCATCTTTGAACCAATTTTGCCACAAAGTGAAAGGCTGTTTATACATTGGATTACTGGACTCATCTTGTAAAAGGGCATTATTCTTCTATGCACTGATTGCTATCTGTTTCTAAATTTTCTGGCAGAGCTGCATAATTTTGGTGGAGGGCCAACGGAGGGTGAAGGCAAAGATTTCGCATCAGCTCCTTCAGATGTAAAGCAGGGAGGATCGTTAAAGCCAGTAGATAATACCATGGTTGCCTCAGCCACATCTGTTCCCAATGCAGATGTTTATCATTTGGGTTCGGGTGTCTCGTTGCAAAGACCTTCTAACATAACTCAGAGGCCGGGGGAGAGGCCTATTCAGAAATGGAAAGGACCAAATAGAATAAGCAAAATATACGGGGACTGGATAGATGATATGGAATAAGAGGGCAAAACTTTCTTCTCCCAAATATTGCCGACTGAACCAGTAAGCTAAGCTCGTACGGGCAAAACCTGATATTAAGCAGAGGATGCTAAGTTCTTGAATGCAAAAGTTCTGAGTAGAGATGTAATACCTTTTTGTCAGGTCCAGGCAATGTTGTTGTTGTTGTATGTCAATCATGTTTACATACCATAGTACATAGAGACGACTATGGAAATGAATAATTTATAATAATATCATTTTGTACCATCTTAGCAGAAGACTTCCAAATGAGACTCATCTCTTTCCTTTTATTTTGTGAATTATTAGTCAGGACAATAAATGTGAGTTTATTACGTTAAAAAGCGATTAAAATAAAAATTTTTATATAGCACTCGTTAGAGCAAGCACAAAGAGTCAATGCTCTCACTGAGAATTGAACTTGTAATCTTCTATTTGGGAGACTCATAGTCATGCTGCTCAACCACAAGGTCTTTGACACATACTTTTATTTATATTATATGTTAATACATATATTAAACAAATAAATAAAATAAAAACCAAAAAAAAAAAAGAAAAAAAAAAAAAGGGAGAAGCGGTCATGCACCCAACAAGCACGTGTAATGCACAGCACCTGCACAAATTCTGCACATTGGCAACTTTTACGTTTAGAAATGTAACGTGGGAAGGAAGAACTAACCTTAGAGTCTGCATATTGGCCGCTTTTACCTTTTGAAATGTAATGTGGGAAGGAAGAGCTGATGTGAGGAGGCATTATCTATACTCTTACTGCTATAGAGTGCTAGTAATATTATCTGTATGTATACTAACAATAACAAATTTGTCTGTGCAATCTGAAGTATGGGAGAAAGAGAGCAGAAACAGCTAACATTCTAACAAAAGTTGTAGATCCTGCAAATTACAAACATTTCATGAAACTAACAAAATCCATGCAGAATGGCCCCTTGCCCCTTGCCCCTACCCCCCTATACTTCTCTCTAACGCCCTAAAAAAGGAAAAGCGTTGTATTTACATGTTTTCTTCCGGGCTCAGTCTTTGAAGAACTACCCTGGGGAGGCTCCTTGTCAGGGTAAGGAAATGAAAGAGAGAGAGAAAGGGAGGTAGAAACTTCCTCCTCCATCACACTTGTTGCTGCATCATCTGTAGGCAGTTCGTGTTTCTTGCCTACATTTCCAGCTAAGAACAGCGGGGCTTCTGGGGTGATGATGGATTTTGTTTCAGTCACTAATGCAAGCTCAAGATTAGGTGCCTTGTCGTGGAGTAGATCTTCCTCCAAAGGATGCACTTTCCGCTGCATCATGCTGCCATCAAAGCCAATCTCATCAACAGGAAGTGGAGCAACAGGAAAGAAGAATGTCTCTGCACGCCCTGAGCGTCCCAAGATGCTCATCTCACTCAAAGCTTCATGGTGAGCTTTCTCTTGTGGAGAATGCCCGGAAGCTGCACGATGGAGGCCTGACAGGAATCCATAACTCGAGTGGCTTGCTTGGTCATTATGTCCACTGAATTCATCAATTAAAGACTTCCCTTTTCTGTTGTGATGTACTGAAACCACGCTGTCGTGGCTGTAATTTGGAAGTCCGTGGGTTGTTCCAGGGGCGGCAGATTGCAACGAAGTCTCCACGGAATCTGCACGTCTCTTGACCAAATTCATGTTTGAGTGTGATGGCATCATCTCTCTCACCAAAGCAGTTTCTTCATTAGTAGATCCATCAGCCAAAGGCATATGACCAAGCTGCACATCATCTTCATCACTAGATTTCATCAATGAGCCCCTGACAGAAGCTACATCCTGCACAGCAGCTGGAACTTCATGAAAATAATGCAATGGCTGGTGTCTATAGGGTTCGGTAGCAGCACATTGGACTGAGAGCTGACCACTCATAGTAGGGTTCCCAACTCTCTCGCCAGTAGGAGCGGAAATGTGTTGTGCATCCGCTCTACAGTCAGAAGCAATATCTTCCTCCTACAAGAAGCATAAACATGAAATCATCAAAATTACATAATGCTTGTTGTGCTAATAATATTTATATAGCTAGAGAGAACACTAATTCCCAACATACGAGGAAAGGAAGACCAATGTGCAAAACAGGAGCACTTCGTGTATAATCCTAGACAAGGGTTTCAGTGGGTAAGACGTTCTTTCTCATAACGAAACCTTTATGCCTAAATAGACAGAACTTTGGGCTTATTTCTACATATAATGATTTATTTTATAGACACACACACATTCACCACATCCTTCTCCACCAACACCCCAACCAGGACAAATATTGTAATATATTTGAATGTAGGAAGCATACCCACTGCCCACATAAGCTATTCTTGAACAGAAGTATGTACTAACAGATGACAGGGAATTATAGTTGGTCTGAAGTGCAATGTTCACACACATGACGCATATTAATATTTCACGGGGGAGAGCCAAAGTATCCTATCTCTGCCTGACTTTGTTCCATAACTTCATACGCAGGTCAAGGAACAGGCTACCACATTCGCGATCAGGGTTTAGCCTAGAGGAAAGCTAAACTCATTTCTTGACATTGGCTTGGGTTCAATCCCATATCCCCAATCCCCTCTGATGCACCCAAAGAAGTTTATATACACACATCTTTACTCACTTGGGGTGAACCTTGAGAACCACACTTCTCAGTTAACATGTTATATGAAGATACAGATTCTGACTCCTTTGAAGCAGGCATCTCAGTATTTTCAGCAGTACTACCATGTGCAGCATTCTTTATATGCCCAAGGTCGCACGAATTGTCAGGTAAAGGCAAGATGGTCCTGGAGATATCTTGAGTCAATAACTTCTCAGCACCAAGAACATGTAAACACTTTTCCTTATTCCCTTTGAACACACCCCACAGGAAAAACATCATATTCCACCCTGCACATACCAGATAAGCAAAGTAGAAATGAGAAAGGCTAGCTAAGATAGAGCCCTCAAAATCATAAGGCAATACATCAAATGTTTTGGATTAATCAGTTATCAATATTCAACAAAAGATGCAGGGTTTTATCCATGTTCCATATAAGAATACCAGCTGAAATTTTCCAAATACCACACAGTAAATGTAAAGTAAACAAAGAACAAAATGCATGCAGCCTAATGCAAACTATTCATTTTAATTTTTCATTATCAAAGCACTAAGCTAGTATAAAATCATGCTCGGCATAATTTCTTAAAATACCACCAGAAATCATGTTGACCAACTTCTATAAATAAAATCCTAGAAAGAAGCACGTGATGATATACTTACGGTGGAATTTCTCAGGAAGCTGGTTAGATGGGAATATCAGCAGCTCAATGCCTCCAAAATTTCCTTTCAGAGCTAGGTCATGCATCATCATATCCCCAAGCAAAATTTTGTAGCTCTTCTCATAACTGCACCATTTTCAATACATAACTTCTAGATAGTATAAGCAATTATATTGAAAGAAAAGAAAATATGATTAGAAAGGGAAATCAGGAAGGCTACCTCTCTATATCCACAGGGAAGAAAAAGAGTGCTATGTTATCCTCCCTAACACCACACTCCTGGAACTGTATTGGCCAGTAACTCAAACGTGAAATTTCATTAAGCATGAGCTTCTGAGGGAATTTGTTAACAGCATCTAAAACTTTAGGTGATGCACGTGTTGATAAATGAGCCTGAATTCCATCACATAGAATAAGGGTTTTCCCGCTCCTGTGAATCTCAAAGCCTCCTCTGCACAGGAAAGTCATGCATAAGATGAGCATCTTTCAAAATGTAGCAACTCCTTGAAATTCCAATCAAGATATCAAAATGAAAAGAAGAAAAAAAAAATATGTTAAGTTTCAAAGTCATACTGCCATATATACTGATGCTCTGGGATGGCTGCTTTCAGAAGTGCTTTTTCTACTGGAGAATGGGATTGTACATTAATTATAGAAGATTTTGCATCAGAAGGGGCCTCAGGACCTGCATCTCCAGTTCCTATAGGAACTTCAGCAGAATGCGATATCAACTGCTCTGCATTGTTCTTGGTCTCCTGTTTGGAAGAGCAGGCAGTTGATTGTTGCAATCTCTTAAGCTCTTCGTGTGTCTCTTTGGAACACTTGATATTTCTTCTGTAGCTTGGGCTAGGTAATTGGTCCGGAGAAGAGATATCACCATTCTTGTTCAATGCCAACAAGTCTTCAATACGGTTAGAGACTTTGTTCTTCCAAAACATTCCAGGTTTCTTGAGCATTGCTGCCTCAATTGCAGCTTTTACATCACCAGACCAATTTGTGACCTCTCCTGAATTCTTTACAGCAGGCGCATCTAAAGACAACTCAGTTCCATTAACTGTGCTAAATTGCACCGCATGAGCACTTCCTTTACCTTTCTGGCAAGAAACATTTTTTCCACTGGCAGTACTCGCCTGTCTTGAGTGACTCCCAGAATTCTCCCTTGCTCTCTGGCTACACTTCTTTGATTCCAAGGGCTGAGACAATCCATCCTGTACAACTTTTTCACTACTACATACAGTTCTCACAGCAATATAAGAACTTGAAGAGGAATCCCCCTTTGTACTAATTTCATTAGGCTTTTCTTCATTATTTTTAACTCTATTAGCCGCTGAAGCTCCATTGACATGTGATGCCTGCTTCTTAGTTTCACCTGATATGGATGGAAGCAACCCATTAAAAATAAATATTAAACAAGAAGCAAACAAATGGTAATCAGGACCCTTATCAGAAATATCACCTGGCAACTTTGAATCAGTAACCTTTACAGTAGATTGTAAGGAGGGATCACCATGAGGTGATGACTTTTTATCACTCCTGGATGAAGATATGGCAACACAACTGGTGTGTTCTGATCTTAGAGAATTTTCACATAAACTTTTATCTTTGACCTTTTTTGGTTCTTCCATATCCCGATCATGAGAAGACCTTGGAGATAACATTTTGACTTTTGATTCGACATCATTTAAATGGATTGACTTTGGTGACTTAAAAGACATGGATTTTCCCAATGATCTAACTGCTCCCTCCTTTGAATTGATAAAAGCTGTTTCCCTAACTGATTTCTGCTTCACAGGAGAAACTTGATCGGGTTTGACCTTTGGTTTGACACTCGAGGAGCTGAATGAATTGGACTTTGAGAAAATACCTGCACAGTTAATTTTCACAGAAACCAAAATTTTACGCTCTAGGTAACATTGAGATCAGACACTAAATTAGTTTTATGAAGCAAACTAAATAACATTACTACCTCGAGGAGGTTGTGGCTGGGGGCCTGTAGAAGAAGGGACTTTAGCTGCAAAAGAACCAGAAGAAAAAGGATTTAAAGGTTTCACTTTCCCCCTCTCTAAGTTCTTAAATGAACTTTCATGAGAAAGTGAAGCAACCCTATTGGGGATTTTTGCCTTTGGTGAGCACAAAATTGGTTCAAGAGCTCGTTTCTTTGCCACAGAGGAACCCCCACTTTCATTTGGCAGTGGATTTACAAGTTTAACTTTTCCCTTCTCTAAATTCTTAAATGAACTTTCACGGTAAAGTGAAGGAACCTTTGTCTGCATCTGTGCCTTTGGTGAACCCAAAATTGGTTCAAGAGCTCGCTTCATTGTTGCAGAAGAAAAGTCACTGCCATATGAAAGTTGGTTTACAAGTTTAACCTTCTTCTTCTCTAAGTTCTTAAATGAACTTTCACGAGAAAGTGAAGTGACCCTATTGGGGATTTGTGCTGTTGGTGAGCGCAACTCAAGACGCTGCCTTTTTGTCGGAGAAGAAACTTCACTATCGTCTGTGCATCTCTTGCCAGATGTTTTCAGATAAGAACGTTCTTCAACAGCTTTGTCTCCCCAACAATCAGAAGTTTTTTGCTCCATCTTTAAAGGATGATCGGACTTAGCAATGGTTGTCCTTCTAGATGGCGAAGTCTTTTCCTTCTCATTGACCCTGCCACTGTTAACATGCTCATTCTTCATTTCTTGGTCAAATTTACATTCCTCACACAGCCAATCACCCTCCGGAATTTTCTCGAGCATTTTTTGCATGCAATAACTAGGATACAATCACAAAACAAGAAAATGTCATGAAAAGCACTAACAGATAGTAGATAGAGTATAAAACAACTTGAGGGCTTACGTATGTTCAGCTCCATCAGTACACCTAGAACATATGGCAAGTAAATGCTCTCGTCCTACGGCCCCACATATATCACAAACTTTGACCTGTTCTCAGCAAAACAAATAGTTCAGGCGACAGGACCCAAAAAAAAAAAAAAAGGGTCTCACAAGTAAGAACATACTTTTTCCAATAAACACATGTTGAGTTATAAAGGCTATGCCTCAGAAGATTGTCAAAAAGGGTACTGTTTTATCAAGAGGATAATATAGAGGAGCATCATAAATCCCACATTACAAAGGGTGCTTTTTGTGATGCTCCAAGTGATCCACACTGTTTTCTAGATGCAACTAAGGCAAGTCAATTATCACATCAGAGAATGTGAACATATAGTCAGTTCCTCTATGAGCATAGGTGGCATATAGCAGTGATTTAAAAAAAAATGTAGGTGTTTAGAAATTCATTGTGCTAGCATAATCAGTCAGGACAACGGGTATTATATATATATTTTTTAAAAGTGCACTGTAGAGGCTCAAGCGAGGTTTGGGTAATTGCATAGCTACCCTACTTGCTAATGCATGTACACATTCTAAAACCAAAGTAAAATATTAGCAGCAAAAAAGTAGAGGAAAACTAAAACTGTTGAATAAATGGCAAGTATCCTTACATCAACCTCCACAATTTCAGAGTCATCACTCTCTTCCATTTGATGGATTTGTGATGCAATCAGATCTAGCCCTGTAGTGTTCACAACCTTGTCTATACCTTCCTTATCTGCAAGGCTAACAACATGGTCTTCTAGAGAATCGGAAACCTCCATCTTAGCCTCCAATGCAAAATCTGATATAAGTTCATGCATCAGAAGTCATTGTGAACACCTCACGTTTTGAATTTCCACATTAAGAATCAAAACTTGTATCAATGTTTCATGGTTCTCCCTGATCTTACCTTTTTTGCTCTTGCTGGCAGGCAAAACATCAGTGCCAGAGAAACTCGAGGCATTTTCTACACAGGTTTCTCCAGATAATTCGTCAACTTTCGACCCCATGGTAGACTGGCTAATATGCAATCAAGACAAGCAAAGGCAGGAGATGCATTAGTCACCATATAAAGCAGAGACTAGCTTTCATCAAAATTCTGACTCTGGATCACATTTTAGATTTCTTATTGACTTGACTCAGCACGTAAAACAAGCAGCAAGCATACAGAAGCACAGGGAACCAATCACAGCACAAGTTGTAGACTTTGAAAAGGATGGTGTAGTTATGCTTCATTATAGAGGAAAAAAATATTACTATCAAATCCTAAAATTTTAAGCTACTTGGGAAAGCCCCAAGTAGGATTATCAACAAAATTAGACAATATCATTAGTTTATTAGAAAACTGATTCCTCTTATACCACTTTTTTCATAAATTACTGATTACATCAAACATCTAGGAAAAGACTTATTAAAATATTGTCTGCATCACCAACAGAAAGTAGTTCTTCTGAACCAAAAAGGCAGAAAAAAGGAGGAAAGGTATGAATTTTACAGGGGAAGGGAAAACAGGCCACTAGTGCTGGAATGCAGAAGATAAGCAACATGTTCAGCCAATAAGCTACATGAAAAACTAAGAGGGGACAATATATTACAGTATTTTGTATTCACAGCCCTGCATTATAGCAGTAATATACATTTTTAAGGTACAAAATTCACTTTCAAGAAAGAAAAAAAAAAAAAAAAAAAACCATAAATTTCAAGAACTACCATCAAGCAAAATTTCAAAGGCAATTTCTGAAATGCATTTTACTGTTAAATAAATTGAATGCTGTGGAGCATCAAATGACATCAAATGTTGCCAGGTCCAGATTCAAGCTTCAAATAAGGGATACTAAAAGGCACCATAAGACAACACAAAACTATGGAAATATAGGTGTTTGAAAGTGCAATTTGAAATAGAGCTCAGATGAAATTGTGGGCAATTATGGTTGGCTATTGTACATAATAAAGAGCAACCAAAAGTTAAAATTTACAAGCTCAGAAAACATAAGGAACTAGCATGTTGCTTTTAAATTTCCTCTTCCTTTGAGAAAAACTGGTACTGAATACTACAGTGACACCAACTGCCTGCAAAATTAATATAATTTTTGGACTCTGCAAAAGAGAATGTACACTATACCACATACACAGAGCAACAGTGAGAACTATCGATGGAAATCATGGAATAATAAGAGTGTTATTGTGTATTACCCAATTATTATCTCGCTATTGTGGTCTGATTGTCACAGATCCGTTCGTCAAGCGGCTCTTGCATTCGATACTTTCCTCGCAAGACCCAGATCTAGAAACACATTAATATATAACATCAGTTGCTGCTTAAAATACGCAACAAACTTCTGCGTTGGCATTAAGAAAAGAGCAATGTAGTTCATAGAAGGCACGTAAGCTAATAAAGTGACTGAAATTCATGCGAAGCAAACCAACTAAAACGTAATTCACAATGTCAAATGCCACGCGTCCTAAAAGAAAGCAGATTTTTGTATTCCCCTTACCACGTATGCACACTTTTTATCTGTTGATATTTACATAATTTACAAAAATGGAACCAATAAACTAGCATATCCAAATACACAAAGTAGAGAAGTATAATTGAGAATTGAATCCATTGTAAAACAAAAATCCGGACCCTGAGAAAAGTGATGACACACTGTGACTCACTATCAAATACAGAGTAAGAACAGACGCAAACCAAGATAGAAACTATCCACATTTAATAATAATTACAATTAAATAAATTGAAACTTCAATAAGAACAAAACATTAAAGGAACATCATACAATTGAAAAAGGATTAGAAGAACAACAAATGAGCATACATAGTTGTTACACCAAAAACTAATATGCAAAGAAACAAATATCCTAATCAGAATTTGAAGCAAAAAGTATATAATTCAAAATTTACAGTTCTAGAACTTGCCCCCTCTGCTAGTCTGCTGAAACACACCAACATGGACAAGAGCAGCATTAACTAAATAGCCTACCCCTTACTGGGAAAGGATAAACATTAGCATAAGTTTGTGTATTTATCTCACATATATCAGTTCCATCTAAGAAATGAATTCAAATGCTTGTGTCTGTCCAAGACACCCTGTACTCTTTCCCTGTCAATTTCCACATGATATTAAATTTTAATTTGAAAACTAAAAGGGGCATAAAAATAATGAAACTGATATAGAAATTCTAAAACAGAAGACTTATTGAAATTAATTTATAAGGAAAGATGAATAGAAACTCATCTTGTCATAAATCTGTGGCCAAGGAAAGGGAAACTGATTATGTGCCATTCGTATTGGACCTATGTTTTCCTCCCTTGCCTCAGTACATATACATGGCATTCTTGTCATCTCTCTACTCAACAAATAGTCAATATGGAATAGATTAGTTTTAATCTATTCCACTTTTTTCATCTGCCTGTCTAGCTATCCACAATTTCTATCTATTCATCCATCTATACATATGTAATCTACAAAAGGGCGTCAATAAATTAGCGTATCCAAGTACAAAAATAAGAAGTATATTGACTTTGTAGTAAAACAAAATCCCAACTCCAGTGAAAAGATATAACCTGCAATTGAATAAAATAAACAAGCCCACACATAGCTATGGTTCCACCATACAAATTGAGACTTCAATAAGAAACAAATGACCAGAGAAGCGTAGGCGTTGCAAATAGAAAATTGATTGAAAATAATAATAGAAGTGCATAAGCATGAACACCAAATATTAATATGGGGATTATAAAATTATTTTTAAAAAATAATAAAATAAATAAATAAATAAAAAGGAGTAAATAGATATGCCTTTGGTAGGGAAGAGTCTAAGAAACAATTTACAGTTCAAGCAGAGGTTGTTCCTTCCACTAAAACGTCACTAGCAAGGCCAAGGGTACTATCAACTAAACCCTAGCATGCCCCTCACTTGGAAGGATTAGCATTAGCATAAATTAACGTATTTTTCTCACATATAATCAGCTCCATGTAAAAATTGAACTGCAATGCTTAAGCCCCCATCCAACCCATGTACTCTCGCTACCAATTTATGTATGGCAACAAGTTTTAAAGTGATTACTATAAAGGGCATATGAGCTAATGAAACAGATAAGTCACAGAGGTTATAGAACTGAACTGACCAATTGTAACCAAAAGGGATAGTACTCAGAGATGTGATGAACTTTTGCTTGAAAACCAATGAATATTATCATGTGAAGAATTTCAGTCCACCCACAATTAATATGGCATCATATTAGAAATGAATATCTTTTGGGCCTCACGGTATAGTTTGCAAGAACTCAAGATCTATTCGAAAATGATACAAGAGGAATGAAAATGTGTCCAGCCATAAATACACCATTCATATTTTAATGAGCCAACTTACATTGTAGGGCAGGCCTCTGTCTCCTAGTTGGTTAATATTCCATATAGAATAGGACTTAATTTTGATGATACATATGTGCTTATTTGAAGTTGGCACAAAAGACATGGCTTTCATTGTAAAGTGAGTCATGGCTCACAATTAGGGTCATACAAGCAAATTAGAAACCAGTTTAAACACAACCAAACCATCTATTTTTCTTGGTAGAAACCAAATGCCAAATTTCGGTTCCACATACCTAAAACCAAATGGATTGGTTTGGTTTTCAATTTTTACTTAGTTCAATCCACTTATCTGAATTGATTCAATCTAATTCAAAAACCGATGCAACCAAACCCTCTATGCCCTACCACACTAGATTTTTATTTTTGTTTAGAAATTAGCAACTAGGGTTCAGTAGTCCAGTAGTTCCATATCTCCATCCACAACTAATCAATCCACGGCTGTATTTGGCAATCCCTATACACAGCCAATCAATCCAAAGTCTGAAAATATTATAATCAGAAGGAGACTTCATTGTGGGTGTTGAAAAATGTTCATTGGAATGGAAATTTTAGCATAAGAATGTTTCTTTATTGTGTATTTATTATGTGGAAGATTGTGAAATGTCAAGTTGCTTATTCCACTCAAAATTTTAGGCTTCCATCTATTATTTAAATGATTTTCAAACAGTTTTTCTAAACAGATTCATAATATGTAGAGAACCAAAAGCCAATCCCATCCAAACCAAACTGGAAAATAAACCTATTGATCTAAACCAAAGTACCAAACAGAATGATTTTGTTTTCAATTTGAATTATCTCAACCTGATTAGGTTGTAATCATTTTTTGGGTTGATCCAGAACTGATTCAGTCTGAACCATGTACACCCCTATTGACAATGTAGCATTGCCATAGTAGACTAGTAGCTATGTGTTTGCTTATGAATTTTGTCCCTTGAGACAGTGTAATACAGATACTGAAATCTCTTCCTGGACAAGAATATTATTCCATCCTCCCTTGTCTCTACTATATGCATGACTTTTTCGTCATCTCTCTCTTCTTGATAAATGGTCTAAGTGGAATACAGTAGCTTTTTATATTCCATTTCCTCATCAACCTGTCTAACTGCCCATAAATTCAATCCATCTATACACCTGCGTTTATGTAATTTATGGAAAAGGGCACAGATAAACTACTGTAACCACCCAAAATTTGAGAAGTATAAATGAGGAGCACATCCCTTGGTAAAACTAAAATTCTAAACTCTGGAAAAGAAACAGCTGGCAATCAAAAAAAGCAGTCATCATTAATTACAAGATATTGGCCAAAGCGTGATAAGAAATAAACAAGTCGCAGAGCACAAGCAAAGAAAGAACGGAATGAAATGGCAAAAAGCCAAAAGGAGTGCGTATATAAAGCAAATACCGTATTTAGGAATTGGATGAAAGTGATAAACATATATAGGCGTGCCTTGAATTGTGAGAGAGTGTAAGTCACAATGCACAGCTCAAGGGGAGTTTGCTCCTTTCGCTGAAACATCGTCGGCAAGGCCAATGGTACAATCGATTAAGCATCCATGCCTCCCCCTTCTCGAAATGGACAGCGATTAGCATAAATTCACGTAATTCATCTCTCCTGTAGTCGATTCAACGCACGCAAATAAGTGGACCGGAATGCTCAAGTCCTGAGGCTCCGAGGCCTCCCAGGTAGTCTCAGTCCACGAATTCGCGCCAAACTTCGACGGCGTACGAAACGATGCAAACTGATAAGGAAATTACGCAGCAGAAGATCTATCCCAAATTGATTTCCGAAGAAGGAAACTCCGTCCAGCTATGGCGGAGAAGAAGCGCAACTTTTATGTACCAGGCGCCTATGCAACTTGCTTCGAAGCTCTCCACCTCTCCCCCAGGCCCCAACTCACCTCTCTGTACGCAGTGCGATACAGAATTACACAGAATGGATTCCCGTACTTGAGGAGTGTATGTAGTTATGTACAATTTTGCTTTCTTCATCGCCTCTGTATATATACGCCTCGTCTCGTCTCGTCTCTTTCCTAGTCAATACGAAATACTTTCGCACTTGTTTCTTTTTTCTTTTTTCTTTTTCCTTTTTTCTTTTTTCTTTTTGTGTTATCATTACAAGTTTACAACTTACAAGTAAAGAGCATGCAATGTTTCTGAGCTAAAAACTATGGTCCTAATAAGAGCATACCATGTACATAAGAATATCATATGTTAAATTCTTTTATTCTTTAATAAATAAAATTTTGAAAAAAAAAATAATTACGTTTACTTTAATTCTGTATTTATGTATTTTTTTAACAAGTCTTGTGGATAGATGTTTCATACGTGTGTAATACTTTTTAATTAAAATCTAATATCTAATATTCTTATAAATACATAAACAAATATCACATTTAATTTTTTAAAAAAATATTACACTTCTCACACCAAACCTACTCATTGTTTATTTATCCAAATTGGCATTCTATATTCTCTAATTTAAATTATAAAAATACACAAGTGAACACATTTTCTATGTTTTCGTTTATCTAATTTTGCATTTCTTCCAAATAATTTGAGACTCAGATAGTAAAGGATTTGTATTTGTATATTTCTCTAATTTAAAAAACAAATAACATATGAAGAAAATAATTGAGAAAAAAAGTGATAATTTTGAAATAGATGTGTTTAATATATATTGAATATCAACAAATATATTTTAAGTTGATTGACCAGTTAAGCTATGCGTGAAATAGAGGTATAATCTTTTCTAAAAATTGGATGTCAACAAATTTAATACTCCGTAAATTACGTTTTCAGAAGGACTGCGCTATATTTATTATTAATTATTAATTATTATGGTTGACAGTTGATAACAAAATTTTGAAATCACGAGGCAGACCAACTAAAACATGATTTCATTTGTGATTTATGGCGTTTGTCGAACGCCGTATGCATATCTCTTCCATAAATATCTTTATTATATTATATTTATTAATTATGACAATATTTCCTAAGTAGAGTGATTGCCCATTCATTTCCACCACCGCTCTCTTTTAACAACAGTTTTTTTTTTTTTTTTCTAAATAATTAGTAGTTGAGTACAATCTTTATAAATTATATAAATTTTATAATATTAATTCGTAATAACATCAAATACTACAAATAGTATTAAATAAAATAAAATTATAACTGCTCAATCATTTATTAATATTTTTTGTATTTATCATCATTACGGATCCATACGATGTCTCCCTCTAAATTATAAAAATATAATAAGTAGTTAGATACATATATTCATTTGGTTATAATTTTTTTTTCTTTTTTAACTTAGATGATCTCAGTTTCATTGGACAGTTATGAATATTTTTATTTGGTGAGTCGATTGATACCTCGTTGGTCATTACTCTTTATATTTTGTTACCAAATTTAGTTTTTAATGTTCATTTTATGTTGTGACATTATTTGAATTTTTTTTATTGGATTACATTTTTATTTTGGGTTACAAAAGAAACTCGCCACTACTTAAAAGTATGCATGAGATAAAACTTTGTTACTGCACTATGAATATCATGTGAAACAATATCAATCAAGAATGTGTTGACAATAATCTAACTCATGACCTTATGATATAGGAATTATGTTCCACCCACTTGATCACCAATTTTAGGATACTAAATATGCTTTTTTTTAAGGCATAATGGTGTCAAGCATATTTATGAATTGAATGATCTAAAACCATAAAGAGCTTTATTGTCTTATTAAAAAGTAAACTATATATATATATATATATATATATATATATATATATATATATATATATATATATAAGGGATCAGGTGCGAAAGCTCTCTCAGGTAAAACATGCGGATTAATCATAGTCATTTATGAACATAATTTCAAAAAAAAAAAAAAAGAAACGTAGCAGCATTATGCTAATTTTGCATATTGTTGAAAGCTTAAGGTGCGTAATTGTAAAGCTTGAGGTGCATATTTTTAAAGCTTAAGGTGCATAAGTTCTACACTTAAGGTGCGCCATTTTTAACACTGAAGGTGCGTCATTTTAAACGTAAAGGATGTTTGGTTCATGGAAAATGTTTTCCAAAGGAAAATATTTGTTTTACCGTGGAGGAAAATATTATTTTTTGGTGTTTGGTTCATGGAATTCATTTTCCATTTGAAAAATGAATTCCTCAAATTTGAGGAAAACAAAATCCTTAGTTGGACCAAGGAAAACAAATTTGAATTTCCATTGGACCAAGGATTTTGTTTTTCAGGGAAGATGGGAAGAAAATGTGATATGATTTGAATCTATTTTATCATTATTTTATTTCTTAATTATGTTACTCTTATTAATTTATAAGGGCATATAGGTTTTTATACTCATTATTCCTTACAATTTCAAATCTAAACAAACAATAGAATTAGTATTCACAATAATTTTTTTTTTCACCAACCAAACAATAAAAGTAATCTTCTTAGTAATTGTTTATATATATATATATATATATATATATATATATATATATATATATATATATAGAGAGAGAGAGAGAGAGAGAGAGAGCTGAGGGATCATCAGGTGCCGACAAGACTTCGGGTGCGAACGTGCAGATGCACCGTCAAGTAATTATTAATGCATTGTAAAATATTTTGAAATGCACCATACACTACACGATTCTCATTAATTGTCAATTTGTGTGTGTATATATATATATATATATATATATATATATATATATATATATATATATATATAAGTTTTAGACTTATTGTATTGGCGATATTGTATACTGCGTACAAAGTTAACCATTTATTTGTATTTAAATAAAAAGTTGCAAAATGTTGGTTATTATAATAATCATTATCATTATATCGAGTCTTCAAACTACAGCTGAACAAGCTTAAAATAATAATAAATTAATAATTTACTAATCCTTTTTAGCAGAGTTTTCTATTGCCGGCATACCGCGGCCACCGCTGCGGCCCCCGTAAATAGATTTTGGCTTCCCTCTCGCGTCATTTATAAATTGGAAGAAAGCGTGGGGATGAGGTTTTCATTTGACAATTGAAGTTAGGGTGTGTTTGGTTGGTGGGTTTTGCCCATAGGAATGTGTATGAAAGTGATTATTGTTGTTTGGTAGATATGATTTTAGAACACTACTATATGTTTCGAATACCCCCATCAATTGAAAAATCCATATCCAAATAATATATGGGTTTCATTCCCTTATTCATTCTCAAGCACTACTATTAGTAACCATTCTCATTCCACTATACTACCAAACATGTTAAATACTTTTACCAAAACTCATTACCATTACCAAGTATTTGATACACATTCTGATTCTGATTCCTATGTGCGAACCAAACATACCCTTAATTTAATGATAAATTAATAAATCCGTGCTACTCAAGTAACATTTTAGGGTGTGTTTGGTTCGCACATAGGAATCGGAATCGGAATGGGTATCAAATACTTGGTAATGGTAATCGGTTTTGGTGAAAATATTTAACATGTTTGGTAGTAGGATGGAAGGGGGATGGTTAGTAATAGTAGTGCTTGAGAATGAATAAGGGAATGAAACCCTTATTTTATTTGGGTATGAGTTTTTCAATTGATGGGGTATTTGAAACCCATAGTAGTGTTCTGAAAACCTATCAACCAAACGACAATAATCACTTTCATACCCATTCCTATGGGCAAAACCCACCAACCAAACACACCCTTGTGTTTGGTTCGCACATAGGAATCGGAATCGAAATGGGTATCAAATACTTGGTAATGGTAATGAGTTTTGATGAAAGTATTTAACATATTTGGTAGTAGGGTGGAATGTAAATGGTTACTAATAGTAGTGCTTGAGAATGAATAAAGGAATGAAACACTTATTTTATTTGGGTATGAGTTTTTCAATTGATGGGTTATTCGAAACCCATAGTAGTGTTCTAAAAACTTATCAACCAAACAACAACAATCACTTTCATATCCATTCCTATGGGCAAAACCCACCAACCAAACACACCCTTAATTCCACCAGAGACCTTTGTCTTTGGTAGAAATTCTAAATTTAGTTCCAAACAATAATTTTTGTCATTTAACATTCTAAATTATTATTTTTTGAACACTTTTAGTACTTTTCATGACTTTTCATATTTTCGGTAATGGCATTTTTGACTTTTTATATTTTTGTTTTGTTATTTTTTCGGTTTAATTAATTGGTTTAAAATTTTAGGTAACCTCTAATTTTTAGTAACTATATTTTTCAATTGATTTTTAGTAAAGTTCTAAACCAATTAAATCAGTTGAAATCGAAAAATAACAAAAGGAAAATATGAAAAAATAAAAATGTCCTTACTAAAAATATGAAAAGTCATGAGAATACTAAAAATGTTTAAAAATAATAGTCAGGGATGTTAAATGTAAAAAATAATAGTCTGTGACTAAATTTGAAATTGCCACAAAAAACAATAGACTTTTAATGGAATTAACTCTTTTGAATTATATCATGTATTCTTTTTCCCTCGACTAGATTTTTCCACTTGAATTAATTCAATTATATTGAACCAACTATATAGTATATATAGTTTCATCATGTGGTCTACTAAATACAAAATGACTAGTTTAGAACACAACGAAACTCACACTATTTTATGTGATTTAGACATATACTAAAGTACAAACTGATTAACCTCAAAGACGAGTAAAATCATTTTTAGAGTTTCACCTCACGAAACAATATTATATTGTTCAGATATGGATAAAATTAAAACGTCATGCCCCTAGAATTCGTAACCTTAAACGATAAGCCGAACCAACACGCTGGATGGACACGTGTCGGCCGCTCCGCAATATAGGACGCGTGTCGAATCAGAACCAAAATCAAGATCGTGAAAATATAATAATAATAATAATAAAAAAAGGGGGGGGGGGGGGGGTGGGGGAGACGGAGGGTAGCATCATATTCTGTTCTGCGTGCTTAGCGAAGAAGGAAATGATACTTA